GCTTGATTTTTATTGTGGGCTTTGACCAGATTGCCAATTTTTTTTCTGACCAATTTTTGAGGGCTTTGAGGGGATTTAATGTTAAGCATTGACCAGATTCTTAACATTGGATCAAATAAAAGTCAAATAACACGGAAAAATGCCTTGATCTTGACTCTGGACCAGGTAAAATCATGGTCTGGATCCAGGTTTTGGCTAATCTCTAGTCCCTTCTATAATGTGACTAGAGATTCTAACACGATGGCCATGCTTCGCCTTTGCCATCATTCCACTCCACATACCATAGGCAGTCAGAAAATTCCTCTTTCTATATTTAATTTCTTTTTTTAAAGATATACACCAAATTGTTCCCAAATAAATATCCAAATTGAATTTCCTATAATTTCTGTTTATTTTCTGGATTCTTCCAAAACAATTATTATTCGCTGCAATGACCTTACAAAAACAAAATTTGCTTTATTTAAATTCTTTTTCTACAAAATTGTTAATAACGAATTGAAATTAATTAAAGATTATGATCCAATTCCAAATGAAATTTATAACTCTTCACAATCTTTTAAATGTTGCAAATGTTTAAATGAAAATGAAAATTCTGCTTTGCTTTTAGGTTTTTTTAAATTTATTTTTAGGAGTACCACGGGTTTGGGTTTTCTGTTCTTTCCCCCTCTCTGTTGCCCGAAACGAAAATAGTGTCGCTTAGATTGTTATTTTAGCACCTTACAAGTAAACGGGCACTTGAAAGTTGTATTTTTTGAATCCCCGTTTAATTTCTCTTGTTTTTCTTTATCCCTTTTTTTGTTATTTTAATTATTTTCCGTGGGACCAAGCCTATCCAAATTCGAAATTATTTTCAACTTATCGACAGGCATTCTAGCGCAATCACATTTATTTTAAAAACCCAAAATCAAAAATTCTTGAATAAAATTTTTTTTATTTTATTCAATAAATTTGTCAGAAATTTTAAATTAATTCGAAAAAACTTTTTGACAAATAAAAATAAATAACTTAATTTTTAAAGGAACCAGTTTTGGCAATATTTACACTATTTGGGCTTCTCCTTCAACTTCTAATTTCTCCTTCAACTTTCAAAATACAGCTTTATCCAAGTATTTTTCTTTATTTTTTTTTAATTTTTAAAAATTAATTTTTTAAGAGTTGAGGAATTAAAAACACAACAAAATAGATCAATTACCGACATCTCCATTAATTCATTAAATGAAAATAAAATAGTTTTACTTTTCAATAATTTTATAATTATTGTTTTTGACAATGCTAAAAATGTTGTTTTGAACAAAATTGTTGTTTCTTGCGCAATTACGGTTATTTTTTTAAATTTTATTTTCTTTTTTTCGTCGTTGACAGAAATTAGTTTTTCTCCTTTTTTGGTTTTTTTAATTTAAAAAAATTTTTCTGACGACTCAATTTATTTTCGATGCAATTTAGAATATTTTCTTTTTGTTTCTAAAAAAGTTTTTATCATTCCCGGGCTACTTTTTAAACCAACTTTATGGTATGTTTTCATAAAAGTCAGCGTCTTTTGACCAAAATATCATTGAAGATAGGGATGCGGGATTTTGCCTCTTCTTTAGATATTTTTTAAATTTTCCTTTTAATTTAGAGTATTTGCAATGACTCTTCTTTTCACCCATTTTTTTGTTCTTTTTCTAATGGTTTTTATTTTGATTTCAATTTAACTGATGACAATTCTGAAATTATTTTAAAACCAAAAAGTTATTTTGAAGGAACTAATTTTACTAGAATGTCAAAAATTTTAATTTCAAAAAATGAAAGGTTTTTTTCTAATTTTTAATTTTTTAAAAATTATTCTAATAAATTTTAGTTTTGAACAATTTGTTATTTTTTCTGGAGGAGTTCCCGATGATTTGGAATGTCAAAATCCAATTTGTATTTTTTGTGGAGACAATTCTTTGATACTCAATTTTGACAGTGAAATTATTAATTTTGAAATTTTTGAAGAAGAAGGTTATTTTAAGGATTTATTTAAATAATTTTTTATTGGTTTAGGAAAAATGGGTAGAAATAAATTAAAATTAATTTTTTTGAGTAATTCCTACACCGGAAGCTCCTTTTTCTTGAAACCTTCCTAATAGAATAATCACTATAACTTTGCCTTATTGAATTATTTTTTTACTTTTGAATAATGGAAATGCAAAAATAATTAGGGTATCTTTGCGCAGATCATCAGGGATTGATTTCGATGCCTTCCCTTCAAATATTATCACTTTTTCAGAAAATTTTATTTATATAAAATTCCATTTTGAAGTTTTTTCTCCCTCTGACTATTTTTTAAAATTATTTTAAATTTTTTAAATTACATTTATAGGAGTAGCAAAAGCTTTATTTGTATTATGTCAAGACGAATTGGTAGCTATAGACTTGAAGGATTCTTTGTGGAGAATGTTTTCATTACCTTATTTATACCCAATACATTCTTCTCCCGTTACTTGTGTTTTGGCAATTTCTGATATTTCTGAACAAATTTTATCACTTTTTGAACAAATATCAGTTGAAAAGAAAAATTCTTCAAAAATATTTTCATCAAATAAATGGCCTCTTGAACAATTTGGAGGAGAACAAATTACTTCGAAAAGCGTGGATCAAGATTCTTTTTTAATTATAACAGGGTATGAATTTATTTTTTAATATTTTTTGGTATTATGAAAAATTTATAGATATTCCATTTTCGATTGATTTTCTCTTTTTTCCAAGCCTGCTGCTTTAGCTGAGAAGCTAGCTAGCCGAGTGTAACCTAGCTCCTAACAATTTTTTCTTTTCGTTAATTTTGAAATTCCTTCTCCCTATTTTTTGAAAAATTTTTCCTTCCTTCATTCTTAAAAGAAAATTAATTTTTAGACATGATAATGGCAATGTTTGTGTTTGGAAGGCAAACGATCTAAATTTTAATTTATTACTTGTTTGTAATACTGCAAAAGAGTTTGAAGGTTATCAGTCAGAAGAAGAAAATCCCCAAAATAACGAAGAGAATAATAAAAATATTAAACATATTCCACCTATTCGAAAAGTTTTTTAATTTTTAAAAATTGAAAAATTGAGGGAAAATATTTAAAGGGAGGAATATTTGATCCTTTTTCTGATGATCATCGTCTTTGTATACAAAAAATTTATTTTGATTCAAAAAGTGGAACGTTTGCAGTTGGGGGACAGGCAGGGCAATTAATGGTTTTTGAGACTTTGTGGAAAAGGGTAAATTTTGAAATAAATTTTTTCGATTTTGAGTAAAAATTTTGGTAAATTTAATAAGATATCGTTGAAATATTTCTTTTCTGGAATTTTTTAATTTGACATTAGGTGTTGATTTTGGTAAAAAAATTTTTAGACACTAGAGAGGGATATTTTTTAATGATACCAATGGGTATTATCGAATCCTTTTAATCGAATGAAGAGTTCACTAAGACTTTCCCAAAAATCTCTTTTATGTTAATGGTGAAGGCTTACATACATATTATTACGAAAATTGCTTTTAATTTTAAATTTTTTTTAAAAATTTTCTTATTTAAAATAATAATTCTCTAGACTTCACCTGCTAACCAACTACTTTTAATTGACATGACTAGTGGAAATAACACAGAAAATTTAAAAGCTAGTGAATCTGCTATTCAACCTAGAAATTCTCCATTAGATTATGAACATGGATTTTGCCTTTATAACAAGTTTAAATTTTATATTTTTTATAAAAACTTTCCTTTTTTTTTAGTGTAATAGCCCAATTTAAACCTCCAATTCCAGTAACGGCAATTTCCTGGAATTTTAATTTAGGCGTATTAGCTGCTGGAAATGAATTTGGTTATGCTGTTTGTTCAATTAGAGAACGAAAATTGCTTTTAATTAAAACTTTAATGTCCTCTCAAGGTTTTTTAACTACAAATTTTTAGTCATTTGGGAGCCTGGGCTAGAGGGTTTCTTTTGCCTCTTTTTTGGGGTTTCCCCTTTTTTGACCTCCTCATCCCCTTTTCTCGCCTTTTTCAACATTGCCCCATTTTGACCGATTTCACCCCTTTTTGAGAGACCATGCCTCTTTTTGGTGATTTGTAAAAGACCACCCTTGTGTGGTCTAATCTTATTTAAATGAATTTATCAAATTAATAGAATCAACTTGAAAATTTTCTCATTTTTTAAGATGTACTTCAAATTTCAAACAAGGATAGTGCTCTTTCTCGTTTTAAAAGTGTTAAAAAGTCAATAAGGCAGTCTTTTAGAAGGAAGAAACAAACTGCAGAACAAATAGTAGGTTTTTAGATATATTTTTTCGATGTGATTTGTGGTTTAATTGGATCTAAAAAATTTTACAATTTATTTTTTACTTTTAAGGAAAATGGAGGAATTATATCAGCACAACAAAATAGGCATCGTCAAGAGAGAGAAATTACGCAGAGATCACGTAATCCAAATGCTTTAGGTTTTTTTCCTTTTTCTTTTCTTTTACTAAAATTCTAATTTAGATGGAGAAACACCAAATTCTCTGATTAAAATACTCAATTTTGAGACATGTATTCTCTCCCCATTTAATACACATCAAGAAGTATATCTTTTTGTTGGGACACAAGGTGGTGCTGTTCTAATTCATTTAATTCGGCCTGATGCTTGTGTGAATACTGAACGTTGTCAATTAATTAAAGGTTAGTTAGTAAAGACATAAAATTGTTTCCTCATGAATAAGATGGTAGGGAATAACAGCATGGGAAATGGAAAATGACCCTGAAAAGTTATACTAATTTTATATAAACAGAAAAATAGCGATCTTAAATGTTGACTTGCATAAGTTTCCTTTCTCCACAATTTTTTCCTTTGTAAAATCCGTTAAAAATTTCTTTAAAGAAATTCGTCTGCGACATCACGCTCCCATTGCTGCAATTGAATTGCTTCATCAACAACCAAACTCAAGACTCCTAATTTTTAGCGAAGAACAGATTCGATCATTTACAATGCCAAATCTAAAATCTTTTACTTTCAAATATAGAATGACAGCAATGGAAGGTTCAAGAATTAGAAAAGCAACAACAGTTCTACTTAACAATGAATGTAAGAAGAAAAAGTCTTTTAAAAAATTTTTAATTTAAATTTTCTTTAGCAAAGAAAACTCCAAATTCAGAAAAGTTTTTAGCAGTTACAACAAATAGGGGAGAAATATTTTTTATATCGCCAACAAATCCAAAGTGCCTTCACAAAATTAGTTTTGTCCAGGTTTCTTTTTAAATTCTTATTTAAAATTTATTTCCCCTTTTCTAATAGCCAAACAATACAATTGGAATATTCTCTACAGCAATTACCCGAAGTGGACAAATATTTTATTTAAACCCATGTGGAAGCGAATTTATAAGGTTGGGATCTCATCTTACGAGCGGTACTGATACTGAATGTAATATTGTTGAGACTGGTATGGGATGTAATGGAACTACAAATGGTTTGGAATGTAACGGTAAAAATAGAGGAGATTTAGGGTTTTTGAGTACTCGTTCAAGTATTTTAAGATAAATCATCAATTTAATTTATTTTTGTAATTTATTTAATTTATTGCTGACAATGAACCAAATAAAACTAGTCCACCAACATATTTAGCTTTTATTTGGCATAATTGTCTATATAATATTAAGGGCGAATCTAACAGAAATCCTTTTCCGTTTAAATTTGAAAATCCGAAATAATTCAAAACTTTTACATTTTTATTTGCGCCCTTGCAGACTTACAATTTAATTTTTGGCATAAAAACAAAAAGAAATAGGGGGAATATTATTTTAATAATAAGATCAATATTTAAACGTACAATGTACTATTTATTATTATAATTTGGGGAAAAACGAAAAAAGGAAGAAATATTTGAGGATTATAGAGTTACACAATATAATGAGGCATGAGCAATATAATTTTTGTTTTCCTAACCCTTTGAGACTCCACTTTTATCACCATAAAGCATTTTAATTTGCTGCTCGAATTCTTTTTCGATATTCTTCCGTTTAAGTTTAAATGCCTCTGTGAGCAAACCAGATGCTGGGGTCCAGGGCTCTTTGCAAATATAAATTTTTTTGGGGATTTCATCACGTCGGAGTTTGTCTGTAAATGAGAATTTATGATTAACTTGAAGGTTTGAGCCTAAAAATTCATTTTAAAAAGACTAACCTTTAACAAAGTCCTGCAATTCTTTCTGCAAAATAATGCACAATTCCTTACTCTCACATAACTTATCAAAAGGCATCCCATCAATTCCACTCTAAAATTTAAAATTTTATGAAAACCCAAAAATATATAATTTTACATTTTCTGCCAACGCTTCAAGATTTTTCTGATTTGGAACAACCAAAGCAATTAAATAATCATAATGGGAATTTCCATAAACACAAATGTTGTCAATATGTTGATTTGTAAGGAGCGAAGTCTCCACTCTTCCCAAAGAAATATATTCTCCATGAGCAAGTTTAATTAAATCTTTTTTGCGATCTAAAGAAGGATTAGATAAAATTATTTTTTGACTTTTTCAAAAAAACAAACCAATTATACAAAGAGAACCATCTTCACGAAATTCTCCAATATCACCAGTTGCAAACCATCTCTTTCCTTTTAATTCAATAAAGTCCTCAGTCCTTTCCATTTTATAATAACCCTTCGCAACATTGTCACCATGAATTAAAATTTCACCTTGTGGAGGTTTATTGTAAGGTGAATAACCAGCTAAAATTAAGAAAAAATATTTTTGAATTTAAAAATCTTTTTGTTGGGAAATTGGTCGTTTAATGTCCTTTCAGAGATCCATTGTCGAAAATGAAGTCAAAAAGAAGAGAATTGAGCCCAAGTCTCAATACGACAAGGATGGAATATTTAGAGAAAGATAGTAGAAATAAAAAGAGTATACCTTCTTTCCAATCCCTAAGCATAATCTCGCAACATCGAAGCGGTGGGCCAACAGAACCAGTACTCAAATCATGCTCTAAAAACAACAAAATAATTATTTTTAAAATTATTAACAAATAAAACCATCAGCCAAAGAAGCACCGCCACAAGTTTCTGTCAAACCATAGCCTTGAACAACTGGACAACAAAAACAAATATTCATAAATCGTTGAGTTTCAGCATTAAGAGGTGCACCGCCAGAAAGGACAAAACGCAAATTTCCACCAAGAATTTTTCGAATACGGTCAAAAGCAAGTCTGTTTAAAAAGAAAAATGAAAAGAAATATTTTTAATTAAATTTAAAAATAGCAAATTAGAAGGAAATCTAGAACTCTAAGAAGTATCTCGACCTTTATTAAGGCATAGATCTAAATGAAAACTGATCAACAAAACCCCCGCAATGTAAGAGAGACATCTTCAACAAAGAGAGATCCCTTAACTTATTACACAAGAAATAATCCAAAAAAACAAACCTATTCATAACCAAACTTGTATATCCTTCCTCATATCTATTACGTTTTCTCTCATAACAAATACGAAACAATTCACGCTGGATAGGCGAACGTTCTTTCACATCATCAGAAACTGCTTTAAAAATACGATCCATAATTGCCTAAAAAATTATTTTAATTAAAAATTTTTTTTCAAAAAAAAAACTAACAGGAACACAAGCAATTAATGTTGGTTTTAATTCACCACAATCTCCTTTCGAACCCTTTTTAATTTTCATTGCCCGATCATATAAAGTTGTTGGAGAAGAATAACCAATACGACATCCTTTTGCTAAACAAACAAGCTCAGCGCAAACTTCAAGGATATGTGCCAAAGGAAGATAGCCAATATAAGTATCTTTATTGCTTAAAAAGAAAAATTTCAATTTAAATGAAGAGAGACGAGTTTATTTTTGACAAATTTAAACCTTCGTAAATTTGTTAAATTAAATCCTAGCTCGAATTTGATAAAGAATTGTTAAACTTACTCAACAGGGATAACAACACTTTGTCCAGAAAGTGCAGAAATTATATTACGATGTGAAAGAAGAACGCCTTTAGGATTTCCAGTAGTACCACTAGTATACATTATCATTGCCAAATCGTCCGGATTTACATACCATTCGGAAAACTCTAAAATAAAAATTATAAAATTAATTTTGGTTAGTAATTAGAAGAGAAAAACTAAAAAAAGGGAAAAACTTTAAGAAAACAAACGTTGAAAATCATTCCCAATATCTTGAAGAGATTGAAAAGAATACAAATCACGTCCATCATCTTTAAACGCTTTTTTAATTTCTTCAGAAGCTTCATCTGCTGTTTCACGCATTGTATGCATTTCAGAGAAATAAATAATTTTTTTGATATTTGGACATTTTTTGATGGAAGTTAAGACTTTTGGTAATAAAGCACGAGAAGTAAATACAGCAACACCATCACATTCACCCATAGCATATGCAATTGCTTCTTCACCAAGAGTTGGGTAGACAGTTACAACTTAAATTTTTTTCTTAATTTAGAAAGATTCACAGATTTTTTCTAAAAATTTATAAAGCCGGGGATCCGAATCAGGGCGGGCGCAATGCGTTTTGCGTTAAAATTTGGCCTAGCGTTGCGTTTTTAGATGTCCATTGCGCCAGCCCCTGATCCCAATTTTCTTTAAATTATTAAAATTTGATTCAGTTGTTTTGTTTATTTTTACTTTTATATTTTGAGACAAGCTCGCAGAGCCCAAAATTTAATACCCACAAAAATTTATTTAACAAAAAATCCAAATTACTTGGTAATCCAGATTTAAAACAAGCAATAGCAGAAACAAGCCATTCCATACGCGTCTCAGAGTAGATTACAACATGTTGCCCCTTTTTTACACCAATTATAGAAAGACCTCTCGTTACATTAGTAATCATATTATCAACATCTTCATAATTTACCCATTCATATTCCCCAAGAATTAATTTCTGAAAAGTGCGACCATCCGCCTGACGTTCCTGCGAAACTTCTACAACGGTTCTAGTTCCCATACAAGTAAGTCCATCATGAAGTCTATGTAAAAAATAAATTAACAATTATATTAATACGAGAAGACAAACACCAAAAAATTAGTTTTTTAGGGATTTCAATGTTAAAGATTGGGGTAGAAAAGTCAGTTTTGGGACAGCCCGTTTTCAAGGTTTAACAAAAATGAAATATAACAAGACTTGACAAGTCAAAATCGGAAAAAATCAAAGAAAACTGACTTTGCAGCTTCATCCCAAATTTTTCCCAAAGTATTGCATCCTTCAAAAAGTTCAGAATATAACGGGCCATCAATAGTATCAACATGTCGCCAAGGAGAGCCTGGATCGTTTTCATCAACAGGACGGGCCTTTAAAAACAAATTACAATTTTTCTTTTCACATTTAAAACCTTGAGTTCACGAGAACGTTCCACTTTCTTTTCCGGGTCAGCAAAAATTTTGAACGGAACAAAAACTAGAGCGTCATAAAAAATAAAGAAAACCTGAAAATTAATAAAAATAAAAAACAAAAAAATTTTAAACTTTCATAAAAGCAGCTAGAGCACTAATATAAAAAGGACGTTCTTGTTCAACCAATTCTTGTTCAATTCGCTTTTCACCTACAACAGCGGAATCCTTCCGGTCTGGCATTTTTGCCAATTGAACGAATTAAGAATATGTTTTTATTTAAGAAAATAACTTTTAAGTAAACAAAATTATCTAAAAACTTTTTAAAAATTATGAAAATAACGGGAATGATATTAACGTGCAAAAAAGGTAAATAAATAAAAACAGAAATGTATTAAACAGAAAAATTATAATTTATATAAAATGAAAGAGTCCGAGTCAAGGTAAGGATGTTAACTTTTTTTGATTCAAGGTTTTAAAAAGAATTGGTAATTTTAAGAAAACTTTTATATGACTTTATAATTTAATAAATCAAAACCGAAGATTAGGGGCCTATTGCAATACCCCCCCCCCCAGTAGGTCTATAATTTTAAATTAAAATTACATTATAAAAAAATATACGACTACGAAAAATACATATGCGACCACAACATAGTCGACTACAAAAATTATACGACTTTCTTTGCCTAGAAAAAAGACTAAAGACGACATTAAAATTACTTTTAAAAAATAAGCAAATATTAGTTTAAAGATAAAAAATCAAAAATGTTAAAATTTAGCGCAAACATCTTAACTATATACAAGCAAAGATAAAAGAAAATAATTAAGAAATTAAAAATAAAAAAGTACAATTGGCCCTAAGCGAATAACAGTTGTTGAGAAATCATGAGGGGAACCTCCATTAGTCATACACACGTTGAAAACAAATTAAAAAGGAGGTAATTGTGTCTCTTACCTTAGCTGGCCAAGCGACTGAAACGTTTGGCTTTCATCATCATAGAAGACATTTTGCCAATGGACATTTAGCCAACCGGTGGGGTATCATTCAGCGCCCACGATTCAGCGCACACGTTTCAGCGCACACGATTCAGCGCACACGATTCAGCACCACCACGATTCAGCGCACACGATTCAGCGCACACGGTTCAGCGCCAGTTATAGAAGGCACGTTTCAGCGCCCATCAATTCATTTGCATGAGTTCGACGAACAGAGTCAAATTACCGAGACCAAGTTGATTTGTAATTATGAACAAAGTTATGACCAACAGAATCTTCGCTGGAAAAACTGTTTTTGTGCTGCTACGGAGGGTAGGCCGGGCATGGTCTTCGCTACACGATGGCCGTGCTTCGCTGCGGTCGTGCTCGCTTCGCTCGCGGCGACCGTAGCGAAGCGGCGGCCGTCGTTCCGCTCGACATGCCCGGCTTCCTCCGCAGCGGCAAAAACTTTTTTCCGCGTAAATTTTTTGAAATGAAAAGAAAAATATTGAAGCAAAGTTGATAAGTTGATAAAAAAATATGTAGAACTTTTAAAAAAAGTTGATAAAAATAAAAAGTTAATAAAAAAAGCTGATAAAAAAAAGTTAATAAAAAAACGAGAACAATGATTTTTACTTATTTTTTGCTAAATAACTGGCGCTGAACTATAACTGGCGCTGAACCGTGTGCGCTGAATCGTGTGCGCTGAATCGTGGTGGTGCTGAATCGTGTGCGCTGAATCGTGTGCGCTGAATCGTGTGCGCTGAATCGTGGGCGCTGAATCGTGTCTAACCGTTAGCCAACAAAGCTTTCGTCAGAGGATCAGATAAAAATAGTTGCGAGGACTGGTGAAATAAATATCTACAAGAAAATTATTTTTTAATAACAAAATATTTAAAATAATCATCTTCAGAAAAAATAAACTTATTGTGGATAAAACTTGCGGACTGGAAACCGCATGAGAAAAAAATTACAAACAAATTAATAACAAATTTTATTGTTGCTATACAAATAAAAAATTGAATGTCAAATAAAATCATTAATACATTTTTTAAAGTAACCCCTGTCTTTTGAGATCCTCAAACATTCTTCGATTAACCACATTCCCAAGTGAATCTTCAAATTCTTCATCAAGGTCCGGATTCCATTTATTTCGACTTCGATCCTCGCATATCTTCTTCCAAAGCCTTTTAAATTTTAAAAATTAATATCAAAGGAAAAATTAAAATTATTTAAGCTTTATGGGTTTACCTCCCCAACTAAAGGGGCTATTTTCTTTTTCAAAAATTTTCTCAACATTCTATTCCTTGTTATTTGGTCGAAAAATATTTCCTAAGAAAAATAAAAAAAAACATTTAAACTTACTCTATAGCATCATTAATTTTTGTAATATTTGTAAAGTGTGCAGTATTTGGAATTCCTAAGCAACGCATACCATGAGAATGACGCCATTCCTTAAAATAACAAAAAAATTTTCCCTTAAAACCCCTCCAAACCGTAAAATGGCGTTGAAAAGCTTTAGGTCCTTTATAAACTTGATTTCCACAAATTTCACAGCTATATCCAATATTCAAGCCATGAAGTTTATAAAGCCAATAGGGGATTGGCTTTCCATCCCAATCCAAAGGAAGATTTTTTGGGTTATAAGGAACATCAGTCTCTTCTTCTTCAACTTCATAAAATTCTTCAACGTCGTCCTCTTCTTCCTCCTCCCCAACACCCCTAGCCTGTTTTCTTTCAATATTTTCCAAAGTTGCTGATATTTCAGGTCTTACTAATTCTGTTAATCTTAGAAAAGAGAAAAATTTTGTTAAAAAATTTAAATTTAAAACAAACTTGAGAACATGAACTTCGTGTTTAGCAAGTTCATATTTTCTTTTCTCTTCTTTGTCTACACCATTTTTGATTGCTTTAAATGCACCATTTGTTGCAGCAGAACCATTTTGATCAGCATTTTTGAAGTCAAGTAAACGTTGGGCACGTTCCTTTAATGACCTTTAAATGATTTTATTTAAAATTTAAATACAGCCTAAATAGAAAAGTTCCAATCGGAGGAATGGATCCCGAAAACAGTCAGAATGTAAAATTGTTTTGAGTGAAAAAACCCAACAATAAATATAAATCTTTACCCTCCACATTTCAAATTCCTCTCAAGAAGCGCCGATTTCAAACGATCACTCCCAAGTTCCATAAGCTCATCTACCGTCTCATATTTGGCTAAATCAAGATCTGCCGAAGCCATTGGTTGTTTAGCCAATAAACTTCCAGTGCTTTTCTCTGTCGACCAACCAGGCACTTTACCCTCTTTCCATTTCGTTTCGAATTCCTAAAAAATTCATTTAAAAAATAAAAAAATATCAAACATTGTCGGCATTATAAAGTTCCGCTTCAATATCAATTAAAGGTTTTGCACGTCGCAAAAAGTCTGTCAAATATCCTTCGAGAGAAGAAACATAATTTTTATAAGCTCCAGTCTTTTTAGTTTTATCTTTCGAAATTTCATGTAATTGATTAAATGTAGAGATGAAAGTAATATAATCAATACGCTAAAATAAAAATATAAAAAATTGATAAACAAAATGAGTTTTTAAAGAATACTTCCCTTTTCCTCTTGAGGAAAAGGGAAGTCCCTTTCCTCTTCCCCTTTCCTCTTGACTCTGGATCCACGAAAAATCAAAGTCTGGATTCAGATCTCTAGATAAATCAAACCTAGGTCACGCCAAACACAGTCCAACCTCACAATATATTCAAAAACTCCATCAAATAAAAATATACCTTAACTCCTTTCAAATTAACATATTGCTCATAAAGAGTGTGCATATCCAAAAATTTCCCGTAGCCTTCCTCGTCCGTAAAGCGAACCATTTCCCTCTCAATTTTATCTGGATCTTGTACAAAATTAGCCATCTCTTGGAATTCTATCGTTAAAGGACGAGCTGTCTCGTTCGGATTTTTTCGGTGAATGTCTTTGAGTGATTTTAGACGAGAATAAAATTCAGCAAATTCATTTGGTCCTCCAATAGCTTGAATTTCTTTAGCACGTTCACCAGATTCATCATTATATATTTTAATTAATTTATCTGTAGCATTTCTACATCTCTGAAAAACAAAAAAATAAATAAATAGAAAAACTTTAAAAAATACTAACATCAATTAAACCTTTAACACGTTGGTCAGAATTGATCTTTTCTCGTTGCTGAAAGTAAAAAGTTTTTAGGAAAAAATATTATTAAATTAACCGTTTTCTTTTCAACCAAATATTCTCTAACCATTAAATCAACACATCTTTCCCTTTCTTCGTGACAAGTACGTTGTACCTCGAGTAAAGAATCCATTGAAAGAATGAAAGCTGAAAAAAGTCTTCTAAAAATTTAAAATTAACGTTCTAAAAATTGTAGTTATAGGCAGTCGGATGACGTCAACTCCCAAAATCCAATTTTGGCGAAATAATCCCGAGCCATTTTGTCAAATTCGACAAAATGGCTCGGGATGATATAGTTCAAAAATGACTAAAAAGGACTCCAAATCTCCTAAGCCCCAGACGAGTTTTGTAGGGTTCGTCAAAATTTTATTTTCAAAGTATCTAAAGATAAGGCAAAGTTTTAAAACTTTTCTACCTTTCAAAAAAAATTTTTTGAGCAAAAGTCTTTATCAATTCATAGAAATTCATCAATTATAGGACAGAAAAAATTTTTTTGAAAGTCAATAAGTAAAACAAAATTATACGCATTTAATAAAATTTTCTTTTAAAAATCATTTAAAGCTTAAAGAAGTACCACATTCATTCTTCTTTTCTTCATCAACTGGTTCAAGTCTTCCCGTTTTTGTTGTACTAACCATGGTTGTTGCTTGCAAATTACATTTTAATGTATCAGGCGAAACAAGTGATGAGACAAATGAAGAATCCAAAAATGAATCACGACGTTTATAGTTGACATTCTTTTTGGGAGTAATGAAGCCCTTCTGCTCTTCAAAAAGTTTTTCAGCTTCAGGGAGGTTGATAAGCACTTCGGTGAATTTTCCAATTTTGCGTTCTGGAGTTTTTCCTAAAATTTTAAATTTCAAAGTTGAGACATTTTTAAAAATAACCTGAGGACTGGATTTGAACAAATTCCTTTTCAACAAAATTCTCCATCTTTTGTGTAGTGTTGTCGAATAATTGTGACATTTCTGATGAATGTGACGCACAATCATTAACCTAAATTTTTGTTATTATTCAAATTTTTGAAAACTTTTACAAACCTGTTTATTGATTGTCGACAATGTGTTGTGAATAGCCTTTCCGAATTCATTTTTATGTTCAGTCGCAACATTTTTGAGAGAATCCAATTCTTGATTCATGCGATCACGGAATTCTTGGGTAAACTGAAAAATGTGATGGAAATACAATTAAAAAGATTCTGCAAAAAATTAACCTTTTCAATATTTTGTTCAAATTGATCGGACATTTCCTTCAACGCACAGACAGCTGTTTTTGCCTCATTCAGTTGTATCTCTGACTTGCTAGTGAAGCTTGTAAGTTGATTTCTTCCAATTTCAAATTGTTTGCATTGACCATCAAACAGCCCTTTCAATTTTTGGTAGTTTCCATCGAATGTTGTCAACTACAAATTGTTTTATAATTTTAAACAAAATCAAAAATTTAAGAAAGAAACGAACCACTTCATCGATCTTGTTGAAAAGCAATCCGTTTTGGCTGTACAATCCATTAGAATACGTTTGCAACTTAAAAATAAAATTTAGACAACCCAAAATATTAAAGAAAAACCTTGATTGCTTGAGATCTGAGACGAACAAAGGAATCACAAGAAACTGAAAGAGCCTGCGACGCAGCGTTGTAATTATCCTTCGTTTGAGCGATTTCCTTTAATGAAAAAATTTTTCCTTGGACTTTAAAAATAATTACCAGGCTTAATTCTTCAATTTCTTCCTTTCTGCTTTCCAGTTTAGTTAATGCAGAGCGAAATTTTTCATAAATTGACTTGTAATGTTGATCCATGACAGCAAAGTCCTCAAGCAACTTAAAAATTTTTTTTAAAAGAATAAGCGTATTCTAAAGTAAAAAAATTTACAATTTGAACTTGGCGCAGCTTGCCCTCAAGTTGCGTCTCCAATTCTTCCACCTTTGCCTTTTTCTCATCTATTGACTCAATCATTTCACTAAAAATTATTTTATTTATAATGAAAATTCAAAAAATACACATACTCATAATTCTCCTTATCCAAATAAATTCCATGTTTCTCCCTAGCAGCGAGAAGATCACGACGAAGGCGATCTATTTCATCGTTGTATTCTTTTAGAAGGCCACGTCGCGTGATTCGTTGGTTGACTTCTGGATTGTTCTTGATGTTCTTAGCTCTTTGAGCATAATCCAAAGTGTTGACAGATTCCTGAAATTTATTTAAATTTTGATTTTATCAAAATATAATAAACCTCAAAGTTTGACGAAGCTGGAGATATTGTTGCAATGATTGTAGTAATTGTCTTGCCACCCAAAGAATCTTGTAAAATACGTGTCAGTTTGCTTTCGCGATAAGGAATGTGTGAAGCACCCATAGTCAATGCATTGATTACACGTCCGAGCGCCAACAAACTTGTGTTGATGTTTCCTTTTTTAAGAAATATACAGAATTAAAAAATAAAAAATACCCGCTTCTCTAGCTCGAATATCTGTCGCGCCAGAACGTCCAATATTTTCAGAACCAGCAAGATCCACCAAATTAAGCTTTCCTTGTCGAAGCAATTCTTCACCATTTACGAGGCCTGGCTCTCGAATCTAATTTCAATTATTAAAATTAAAAAGATTTTCAAATACTCACCATAACAGAAACAGTGAAGACAGAATGAGAACGGCTAAAATAAGCAAAATATAGTTATGGATAAACATAAGTATAAAAGAACCTAGATGTCATGTTCATAAGGGTTGTAGCTGTACGACGCTTCTCAGCTCCACGTCTAAGCAATCCGTGAACTTCCTTTGGTGAGCGGACAATGACCTCTTCAGCACCAGCAATTGATACTCCCTTCAAAACAATGAAATTTAATCGCGTTTTTTCGAATTGAAAATAAACCTTAGTTTTATCATCAAAAATTCTCAATGATTCCAATTGTGAACGAAGATTTAGCAAATCAAAAATTTGTTCATTGTACAATTCAACATAACTGACGCGCACAGTGTAGTCAGTATCCTCGCCAAGTACAGAAAAAATTTGATCAAGTGCGCGTGGAATAATTCCTGCTGTTGGATCAGTGTTCCATGCGAAGTCTTCAGAGGAATCATGTCGTCCTTCCATCGTAAACGTCTTTCCACTTCCTGTTTGACCATAAGCAAAAACTGTGCAATTGTAACCATCAAGGACTTGCCCCATGAGGGGGGCAAGAACGCCGTCGTAAACTTCAATTTGGGTAGATTCTGGGCCAAAAATCTAAAATATTTGAAATTATTAAAAAAAAAACAAGTTAAAAACCTTATCATAAGGTCCAAAACATTTTTGTCCTTGACCGAATCGTGAAGAATCAGAAGAGTTTGCATTCTTGAGTGAAACAGTCCTTGCTACACGGTCACACGAAACAATGTTTTTGTTACATCCAGAGCGTTCAATATCGCTCAGCGGTCTTAAAAAAGATTTTTAATTTCGAATAAAATACAAACGAAAAATTAGAGAAAGGTAAAATTTCAAGATTGGAACCTGATTCTAACAGCAACTTGAACATTTTTTCTTTTAACAGTTTTATCTTTAGATTTGATAGCGGACATCGTATTATGTATGTAGAAATTTTTTTAAATCTATGCCTAAAAATGAAAAAATTATTTTATGTATGCGAGGAAAATGTAAAATTAGGCACGCCCTTTTTCTCTCTCAACCATCAATCAATTGAGTTGTGGTCACTTTTTTTATTTAAGATAGAGCTGACTCGGATGACGTCATCGAGCTGAGCTAAGCGAATGACACAAAAATCGGTCCGTGAGAAAAAATTTTCATTTTAAAAAATCAGACGCGCATATTCAATTCAAGTGAAAAATTTACGCGACAAAATAAAACCTGGACGGTTCCAATCGACCGATTCAGAGTAGAATTGGGCCTTATTTTTTGTTTTAAAGTTGAGCAATCAACATCGGGCCTTTTCTCGTTTTTTTCTTTTTTTTATTAATTTGGCTTGATGTTCATATTGATAAGTAATTTTTGTTTTATTTTAGCCTTAAACATTCTAAGTTTCAAATGCTTAAAAATTTTCATCCTATTGACCAACAACGTTATTATGACCGTGAACAGTTTTCAGCCACGGAATTGAATAGATTTTTTGACATTGGTATTTCAATGATTTTTAATTTAAAAATTTTCAAAGAAATTTTCTTTCATTTTGTAGGTCTCGAAAGCATTTCTCAAGGAAAGTTAGCCGTGATAACACTTGCTGGTGGACAAGCTAGTCGACTTGGATCTTCCCTTCCAAAAGGCATTATTAACCTGGGAACTGGACTTGGGGCAGAAAATGATTCTCTTCTGTTTTTACAAGCTTGTCAAATTAGCTATCTCCAAAAGAAGGCCAAAGGAAGAATTATTTGGTTAATAATGACGAGCAAATCGACAGATGCAAAAATACGTGAACATTTGGATATTATCTTGAAAAAGACAAATTTGGATTGGAAAAATGTATTAATTTTTTTAATAGAATTGGAAGGGTGCGTGTATTGTTACAATTTTTATGGAAACTCCTTTTCAAGAAATATTTAGTTTCGTAGTTTTTGTCCAGTATTTACAAATTTTTGGTGTTTTTTGAATTTTTTCTTCGGGTGTAAACGTAACGCACCGTTATGGCAAAAAAGCCATATTGACAAACCCCCAAAAACCGCCGAAATGGCAAACTGGGGAAAGGCCGACGGTTTTACTTTTCGCATTATGCAAAACTAGTCTATACATATTTAAATTTTTAGGTAATGGTTTTTACTCAAAATGAAATTCCTGCTCACAATTTTGATGGTCAACCTCTTTTATCTGCACCTGATCGGCCTGTTACTTCACCAGGTTTTTGAAAAATTCTTACGATTTTTAGAAAAAATTTTTTAGATGGAAATGGCGGTATTTATCAAGCAATTTCGCCAAAGCTTCCAGAACTTGAAGAAATGGGAATTGAATACTTTCATGTTTATTGTGTTGACAATATTCTCTGTCGTGTTCCAGATTTACATATGATTGGCTTTGCTGTTGATAAAAAGGCTGATTGTGTTTTGAAGGTTTTTTTTGCTTTTGCTAACTAAGGGCACGTATATATATATATATGGGATAGGTTTCAAAGGGATTTGCTAGGCTTCTTTGATATATTCGGTGCATGGGCCATAACAACAAGTTATGCAATTTACATTTTCTAAAGACATCCTTTACCTCTTTCAAAAACATTTCTGACTTTTAGAATAAGAAACAAAACCCTTTTAATGCATTGTTTAAAACCAATTTAAGGTAATCGAGAAGAAGGATCCATCAGAAAAAGTTGGCCATGTCTGCGTTGAAGATGGAAAAATTAAAGTATTGGAATATTCAGAAATCCCAAAAGAACTTGCTAAAAAGCGTGATTCAAAATTTCCGGAGAAATTGTTCTTCCGTGCTGGGAATATTGCCAATCACTTTTTTACTCTCGACTTTCTTAAAAAAGCTTGTTTGGAATTTGATTCTCTGCCTTATCATGAAGCACGCAAGCGAATACCTTATTGGGATCCTGTTACTGGAAAAAACGTTCAACCAACTAGTGAGAATGGCATAAAGAAGGAACGTTTTATTTTTGATGCTTTTATTCATTCAAAGTTTGTTTTTGATAGAAATATTTTTATTTATAAGATTGATAAGATTGTGATTTTAGGGAAGGTTGTTCTTTTTTGTATTCTAGATGAGTTGGGTTGATGGGAAAATATGGATATAAGAGATTTTATAGTTTAAATAAGATGATTCCACAGTTGGGTTTTTAGGTGCCCAAAATAAGGATCTATTTTGGGTTTAACATAAGATCTCCTGCTAAACATAAGATCTCCTGCTAATTTTTTTATTTTTAGAAATTTTATGGTCTGGCAAGTACCCCGTGAAGAAGAATTCAGTCCATTGAAGAATCCAGACTCTGCAGGTGCTGATTGTCTCTCAACTTGTATTCGTGACTTTACCTCTGTTAATGGAAATGTGATTAGAGAAATGGTTAAAGAATTTTGTTAGAAGGAATGAACAGATTTTAATTAATGGTTGTTTTTTAGTATTTATTTGATTTTTAAATTTCTATTTATTACGGGAATAAGTTATCAGCTTTTCACCTCACTTAGGACTTTCTTTATGTTTTTCACGTTTTTCTACTTATATGTTGATATTATAGGCTATTTATGCGACACGACACTTGTGACTCACTATTGGGGTTAAAAGGGCTTGAAATTATTTTAGAAGGGGAAAAAATAAAATTACAGATATTGGTTCCAAATTACACATATTAAAATTGAATTGCAAATTTTAATTTTTTACTATAATCAGGGTCACAAGTGTTGTGCTATATCTTTTATTGACCTTAAAAAATAAAAGCTTTATTTTCTAAAAGAAATTTATGGAAAAATAAAATTTTAAATTATTGTTTTTAATTTTTTCAAGAATGTTTTTTTAACATTTATAATATTTTAAAAAATTTTGGTATCTCATATAAGGGTTTGAAGCATTAAATCAAAAAATTTAGTGTAATTTGCGTTTTGTTTTGGGATGTTTTTTGATAAACGATCCTTTATAGATTCTGCGAATATGAGACCCGACATTTCATTTGCTGATCTACTTTTTTCGGATTCGACACCCATTTTTAATAAAATGTCAACTCTTTCACATTTAATGAATTTCTGAATGATTTTCCTTCTCCCTTGTACGTGTAAAAATTTTTAATGAAAAATCGGATTATATCGCTTTATCATACTAAATGCTTTATCATTTTTCCATCAAAAGATTTTTTTGTTTTAATATATCAGATTAGAAACATGTCAACAAACTTTAATTGATTTTCACTAAACAAAACAACATTAAATCCGAACTTTTCTTCTTTTAAAAATAAATTGATTATTATTTTTTTAGTAAACAAAAAAATATTTTGTGGGCACAACTGCTTTTATTTATTTACAAATCAATTCAATAATCTATTTATTTTTCATCTCCCATTTCGCGTTTTTAAAATTTTTTCAATCACCATTTGTTGTTTAGAAGAATGGATGTTAGCCAGAAAAATACGAATCAGGTGGTCGCTTTCCGGTGGAATTTTGATGTAATTGAACCAGCAAAAGAGTTAAAATAGAGAAACAAAACAAAAAAATGAACCATGAAAAAGGTTGTTTATCCTTGTTTTTTTATTATTTAAGTAATCATTTTAGGATGAAAATTGGAACACATGAAAAGTTTGTGAGTGAAAAAGAAGACGTTTATTGCCTTACAAAAAAGTGGTCAGAAATAAATTTTTTTATTTAATAAATTAATCTTTTTAGAAAAAATGTGGAGGTCTTCAATATTCCTTTTTGTGGTTTTCTCAATTAATTTTTGTTTTTCACAAAAAGAACCGGTTGGACAAAATTTAATACTTTTTTTAGTTGATGGTAATTTTTAAATATTTTTTTGTAAATTTAATTAATTTTCAGGTCTAGGAGCTAATTTGTTTAATAATACTGATTCTAGAATGAAATTTGGGGCAAAAACGCTTATTGAGGTAAATAATTATAATTTTCAATTGGAAGGTTTTTGAAATATTTTCAGAATGGGGTAGAAGCAGATTATCTTATCCCTGTTTTTCCAACTCAATCATATCCAAATTGGTTTAGTTTAGCAACTGGTATGTTTTTAATTTTGTTATAATTAGGGAACGGATTTATATGGATTTCCATATTTTTTTCCTGGCTTAGTTGGGTCTTGAAACGTCCAAAAAACATAGTTTTAGCATATGTTGATAAGACCGATAATGAGTTATCAATCCATATTTTCCATATTTTTCCATATTTTAACGTTTGGTCCATATTTTCCATATTTCGTCCATATTTTGTCATTTTTTGTAAAATTTTGCCAAAAATTGGTCAAAATTTTCAAATTTATGGAATTTTTTGGGCAAAAAGAAAATTTTTTGGAAAAATTAAAAAAAAAATTTTTTTTTGACAAAAATTTCTGAAAAAATTTTCGACTCAAATATTATCCGAAGTATTTTTAGAAGCAAAATAATCATCATGAATTGATTTATTTGTAATATTATGCATCAAAATTAACTTAATTAACATTTTGCTGCTTTGAAATGCAAATTTTGCGTTAAAAATTTTCAGTTTTCGGCCCATATTCGATCAATATTATGGATTTTAATCCATATTTCAGTCCATATTTTAAGATTTTTAGTCCATATTATATGTCCATATTTTTCGATTAATAGTCCATATAAATCCGTTCCCTAGTTATAATTTATGAGAAGTAGGGAGAAATATTTTATCGTCTTGATAGCCTTTAAAATGTTTCGGTCAAATATTTAATTCTGAAAGCTAGCAAATTTATGCTAAATTCAAAATTCATAGCTTTTTTTTGTCAGAGCCTATCATATTTTTATTTCTTTTCCTTTTTGAGTTTGCTTATGATCTTCCTTAAAAATTAAAAAAAAATTTTTTTCATTCTAATATTTAATATTTAAGATGAATTTTAGTTACCTTAGTAATTTAAAATATAGCCGATTCTTCAATTATTTTATATATTTTTTGAATTTATGGGGATTAGAGTATTCCCTTCAAAAATGGATAATTAAATCACAATTTTATTGAAAAATAGTATTTTATTCCTATTTTCCTTTTATTAATTATTTTATTAAGGTCTCTATGTAGAAAATCACAATTTCACTGCCGACTTTATGTTTGATCCAAATAATACTTTGTTTTTTGAACGAGATTTGGGGGCTGATGATTTAAATGAAAAATGGTGGCGGGCAAATCCAGCCCCTTTTTGGTATTCGGTTGGCAAAGCTGGAATTGATGTTCATTGTTATTGGTTTGCTACTTGTCATGTTAGTTTTACCCTTTTAAATTATTTACTCAAAATTTTATCTCCAAAATATCACCACATTTATTAAAATTTAAAGATTCATGTCAGATAGTTCCCACCCCAATCCAAAGATAATCCATTTTAGGGAAAAAATTTTTGAACAAATCAGGTCAAGAATAACCTAATCTAAGAAAATATTATTTTGTACTCAAATAATTTTACCTAAAACTCCACAAATTCTTATGACTCGAATATTGTTTAAATTAAAATTCTTCAGATGCCTTATGTAGATTTAGTTGTACAAGTTCCTTTGTCAAGACGTCATAGTTTTAAAAATGATGAAGAACATGATTTATATTCATATATTCCAAACATAATGAAATATATTCAAAAATATCAGGTTTATAGAAAACAGGTTTCCTAAAATAATTTTGAGAAAAAATTAAAATAATTTTTTATTCAGTTAGTACTTCTTCGATATGATGGGTTAGGGAAGGCTTTGAGAACGCATGGTGAGGACTCTGAACAAACGGTCCAAGAACTTTCTAATTTTGACCAACAAGTACGGAAAATTCAGGTAAATTAACTTTTTTATTTAAAGGAGATCTCAAAATTAATCTTCCCTTTCCTTGTCAATCGACGATTGAAAAGAAATAGTATATTTTTTACGTCGAATTTCTAATTATTGTTTGATTGCGTGTCATAAGGAAATAAAATAAAATTAAGGGCTAGGTCTGACCATTATGTGCTTTTTTGATAGAAAAGTAAGAATTAATTTTGAAACTGAAATGAGGGAGCGTGATATGAACAAAGCACAAAGGAGAATTAAACAAAATATTCTATAGAAAATGACTGTATATTTGAGTGTATTTTGGTTGATTAGAGGGAATTATCAAAAAGATCATTGCCGTACATCACTGACAATGAACATTTTTTATTAATATTTTTATATTTTCAGGAGGAAATGGAGACTTGGGATTTATTAAGATCTACAAATTTAATTGTTTTATCCGACCATGGATTGATAAAAAGTGAAGAACAAAATCAATATTATATTGAAGAGTGTATTGCTGACAGTACAAAAGTTAAACAAATAGCTAATTCACTTGCTTTTGCATTAATTTGGCCAGAAGAGGAGGAAGAGGTTTTTTTGGATATTTTTTGAAGAATAAAAATTTTGAAGGATACAATTTTCTTCGAATTAAAATTTTGTGATCAATGGGCTAATCTTGCATCAGTTGATTATGAAGGTGAAACAAAAGAAGTAGAACCTTCTGTGGGAGTTTATAGACAACATGAAATTCCGGAACGTTTCCATTGGAAGGTTAATTTTGACAAAAAAATTTTGTATTATTTTTTCAAAGGATTCTCGATTTGTTGCACCAATTGTACTTATTGCACAACCTGGATATCAACTTTTAACAGTTTTTTAAAAAGCTTTTATAAATGAAATTATTTTTAGAGGCAAATTCCCTCAACATCAGTTAGCGAAAAATTTGGGAGAGAATGGAAAATGTTGGATGGGTGGGATAATGAAAACCCAGACCTCCAAGGTTTTGTTAAAATGAAAATTGTTTTTTAATTTTTTTCTGTTTTAGGCATTTTTATGGCCAGAGGACCTGGCAAGTTTTTTAAAGTTTTTGTCTTTTTCAAATTTTAAATCGCTAGAAAATAAAGGTTCCGTTTTTGTTTATAAGTTGGTTGGAGAGTTTCCAAAAGTTCCCAACTTTCGAATTTCTAAAATTAAAAATATTGGGGGAAGGGAAGAAGTTATTCAAAAAAGAACCCATTCTTTAAACGAATGCACTTATAATTAATTTTTAGCTTTCAAATCTGGATATAAAGGTGGACCATTAGAAATAGTTGATATTTATCAGGTTTTTATACTTTTGTTAAATATTACTAGAAACCTTTACGCTTTTAGTTAGTTCTAAATATGCTTGGAGTTGACCCATGCCATCCAAATAATGGAAGTTGGGAAAGAGTTTCAGAATTTTTATCTGATGAACTTGAAGAGAGGTCATATCAACCACAAAATTTTGGTATAAGGAATTCAAAGCCTATTACATTATTATTAGTTGTGATAGAAATATTATTAGTTTGTAATTTTAGTTTTTACTTTTTACCTACAGATTTATTCTAATTTAGAGAATAAAAATAAGATTTTTTTAGAGGTTTTAGAGAAATTTTATTTTAAAAATTGGAAACTTGAGCTTCTTCTGGAGAGTTGGTCGATTCTAGATGAAAAATAATTTGGACTCATGTCATGAATAAGTGAGTTTTCCATATCTCATTCTCTCCAAAAACTTAGAAAATAATAGCTAAAGCACATAGAAATCCAAGTGAAAGTTTAGGCAAAATTAGTTTTTAATTCACAAATTGTGATTTTTCCCTTATCGAAAAACATTTTTAAAGTTAGAGTGATCAGAAAAATTCCTTCCCAACTAATAAAAGGTGAACACAAAAATTAAAAAATAAACCAAAAATTTAAATTTATTCAAAATAAACATAAATACTAACCTTAACAATTCAAAAAAACTTTACGGATGTGGCCGAACATATGGATTCTCTGGAATATATTTCATCGATACATCAGTCTTCAAAAGTTCGTTTTTTACAAATTCAGTTAAATTTTTTCGTCTATTCTCTTCAAGTGTCTCCATAGAAGGGTATGGATTGCCTTAATTTTGAATAATTAATTTTTAAATATTTTAAAATTAAAACCTTTCAATTCCAAAACAGCAATGGAATATCTCATATATAAAACTTTTTTGCCGTTTCTAATTTCTGCACGGATAGAAGGTAATCTGAAGATTGAAGTGTAAGGCTCGTCAATTGGATAATCTTCAAAACGAGGAACAAAAACACTGAAAATTTTTAAAATTTTATTTCGGTTATTCATATCAAAAAGTATTATCGGGTTATTCCTAACAATAAGTATACCTAACATTTGGGTAAAATTCACGTTCGTCCCCCTCTTTTTACTTCGTAAATTTGCACAGGATGGTCAAACTTTGTTCCTCAACTCCCCTCTATTTCCCTGTGGCATATTCAAATATACAAATTGAGGAAGGAAAAAGAAGGGGGAATGAACTTGAATTTTATCATTTAATTTTCATTAAAAAATTTAGGATTAATTCTCGAAAACTTTAGCATTAAATTGATTTTCTATTGGTTTGTCCGCAAAACATATCCGCAAAAAACTAGCCTTGCAGACAAAATTCTAGCGTCACCCAAATGCTACCCTCACTAAAACCTTCATAAAACTCTTACTTGAACATTTTATCTATTAATTCCTTTTCAGGAAACCACCAATCAAACATTTCTTTTGTATATTCATCATTTATTCCTCTATGAATGCCTAATTGAATTAACTAAAGAAAAAAATATTTTCAGAAAAATAATTAAAATTAAACTCTTTCCACATATTGACGACACTCTTCAGCTCGATTATAACGAAATTCAACTCTTTCGTCTTTAAAGACACGATTTACCAACATTCGAAGCAATTCCAAATGCCCTCTTGGATTTTTAAAACCTGGAAGTTTAAGCCTTTGGGGTATATGTCCAATCGGGACTTTAATTCGAGGAAGAGACGGAAGTAAACGATGAGCAGACATTTCTAAAAAAACAAATTGGAAATAAAAATGAAAGAAAAGTTTAAAAATTCAAATGAAGAAAAAACAAAAAAAATTGACATTTTAGGCATTTTTAATAATTTGGCAAAACAAATAAATATTAAAGTAACCAATTTGAAAGGGAAATTTCCAAAAAATTTAAAGCCGGTTTGTCGCTAAAACTTTTGTTACTGTTTTTAATCTCGAGAATTGATTTTTTAAAATAGGTGTGAAAGACTGACTTGCGCTCTTATTTTGATACGAGATTGTAATGAATAACACTGATTGACTTAATATTTTTTAACAAATTTAGATACAAGTTTATAATGACTTTTTGATATTTTTTCAAAGCATTTGAATTTTCTCAATTTTCTTTGTTATTTTTTTCAAAAGAAATGGGCAATACAGAAAGCTCCAAAGGTTTAAAATTTATATTTTAATATTTTTAATTTTTTATTTCAGTCGATTTCCGCAAACTTGTTGTAGAAGAAACTTCAAAACCTTTAACAAATGACGAAGATTTGGATTGGGATAAACTTCTTCCATTTAATACAATTAATGATTTATTTAATTTTTTGTCTGCTGCTGATGTCAGAGGATTGAGAGATATGCATCCAAATGTTTTTTAAATATTTTTTTTCTTTAATATCTTCCCCTTTAAAGGCATTAGCTACTTTAATTACCAAAGTCATTGGATACCTTTCACGTCTTCCAAATTCACTTCCTGCCCAATCTGAACATAGAAAGGTTTTCTGAATTTATTTAAAGTTACAAATGATTTTTTAGATAATTAATTGTATTCGTCTACTTATACGTGTTATTCCTTTCCTTTTTGAAGAGAGCGAATGGCGAGCTTATTTCTGGGCCCAAATGCCCGAGAAAGAAGGAAATACAGAAAATCGGCCTCCTCTTGGAAGTTTGCTTTTAAATGCACTTTCTCATCTTTTATTTTGTCCGAATTTTACTGTTGGACTTGTTGACAAAAATGCGGTTTTTCTTTAAATTTTGATTTTTTATAAATTTTTTAGCAAATCAAAAGCCTTTCAAAAATAGATAGTTGTGAATATATTTGGCAATCTGGAGTTGGTTTTGCTGGGAAACCACCATCCAGCGCTGTTTATGATGCAAATAGAACAGAAATATTGAAACTTTTATTGTAATTTTTTAAAATAATTCTTTTTCTTTTAAATTCGTGAATTTTAGAGTGTGTTTTTCGGAGATTATTTACAATCGTGAGACAGGTATCTTGTTAGTTTGTTAATTTAAATATTTTGCAATTAGGATAATTTTGGGGGTGTTTTGAGGTTAATTGTATTTTTTTTAATTTCTCCGTTTTGGTTTTTGCGATTTTATATTTTTCTGAAAAAAATATTTTTGAGGATTTCAATCATTTTTTACATTTTGGCTCACTCGACAATTACCTCACTCTTCCCATCTACTCTATTATTAATTTTTTAACTTTAGAAATTTCAAAAATTCGTTGGATAACTTGTTTTACTTCGGCAGAGAATCGTAACGTTGTAAGTTTGAAAAATTAATTTTTTTCCTATTTTCTTTCCAAAATTTTTAAGCTCCCAATTTTTACTTCTCTTTTAAATATAATTTGTTCCTATGATCCTGTTGGGCTTGGAGTGCCATACAATTATCTTTTAATGACCGACTTTCGCGAACCTTTAGTTAAAGTTTCTCTACAATTTTTGATTGTATGTCTCGATAAAGATTCTCATTCAAAAAATGAAGAGGTTTTTTGAAAATAAATTTTTAACTTTATTTTTTGAAAGGATGGTTATGCTGAAAATTATTTTATTAATTATCTTTCAAGAATTCATAGAGAAGAAGATTTTGATTTTATTTTGAAGGTATTTTTGGGATAATTTTTTTAATTTTAATTAATTTTTAGGGTTTTACTCGTCTTTTAAACAATCAATTACAAGCTACTTATTTCCCTAAATCTTTAAAGAAAATTGAATTCCATCAAGAACTTCTTGTTCTCCTTTGGAAATGTTGTGAATTTAATCAGGTAAAAATTATTTAAATAAAATTTAGGATTTTATTTCTTCTATTTAAAATATTTTCATGTTTATATTACCTTATTTTAAAACGAGGACTAATTGTAAGGTTGGCCGAAAAACCGGACTATGGTTGGCCTAAACGGCTTTTTGTTTTTTCTTTTTTTGTGCCATTTAGAGGGGCGTTTTATTCGGATTAAAAATTTTTTTTGGTTAAAATGTGCACCACTTATCATTTTTAGTTTATTCCTTTTTAAATGCTTCAAAAATTTTATTTTTTTGACTTTTTTCTTTTTTTTTAATTTTTCAACTGTCAATTTAAATAAACATTTTAATTTTTTTCAGAAATTTCTCTATTTTATTCTCAAAACTAGTGATATGCTTGACATTCTCGTTCCTATACTTTATCATTTAAACGACTCTCGTACAGACCCTTCACGTATTGGACTTGTGCATATGAGTGTATTTTTAATTTTATTGTTGAGTGGAGAAAGAAATTTTGGTGTTCGTTTAAATAAAGTATTCTTTTTATTTTGATTTTGTTGTTATCAATTTCTTTTTTAGCCTTTCACTTCTCGTGGAATTATTGATGTTCCTATATTTACTGGGACACATGCTGATCTTTTAATTATTGTAATTTTTTAATTAAATTTTGATTGACTTTTTGTAATTTTTAAAGGTTTTTCATAAATTAATAACTAGTGGAAATCATAAATTGCAATCTCTATTTGATTGTTTGTTGACAATTATTGTTAATGGTTGGTGTTTTTTTATTTAAAATTCTTTTATTTTTAAAAATTAACTAAAAAATTTATATGAAGCTGAATTAAATTTTATTAATCTTTCTTAAGAAATTTTTTCTTAATATTTTTTACAATCTAGCAAAGCCCAAAAAATTCTAATTTTTATTATCCATTTTTTGCTAATTTAATATTTCCTTTTTTAGTTTCGCCATATCTCAAATCTTTGTCTATGGTTACTGCTAATAAATTGGTTCATTTGGTTGAAGCATTTAGGTTTTTCAATTCTTTTAGTTTTTTAAAAAATTTTTTAGCACTCCTTGGTTTATGTTTTCCTCTCCAACAAATCACCATTTAATTTTCTTTATTCTGGAAATGTTTAATAATATTATTCAATATCAATTTGATGGTTATTTTTTAATTTTATTATTTATTTTTGGACTTGTTTTTTAATTCCCAAAGGATTTAGAAAAACAAGGCTTTATATCCTCTTATTCAAAATAATTAGAAATAATATTTTCCACTAATTAATAAAATATTCAATTTTTAGGTAATTCTAATTTAATTTACACAATAATACGAAAACGACATGTTTTCTATCAATTAAGGTTTTTTTTCTTCTTATTTTTGTTTTTTTAATTTGTTAATTTAGTAATATTCAAACCGATTCTGTTTCAATAGCCCAAGGATTACGAAAAGGTAAAAAGCCAGTTCCAAAGGATTCAGAGGAAGAATCTGCCGGGGAAATTACACAAATTGGTGAAAAGAATGAAATAAGAGGTTAATTTTTTGGAATTTTATTATTAAAAAAATTATTTCAAGCTCCAATTGGTCCAACTTCAACACTCGCCCAAACTCCAGCAATTGATGTAATGACAACAAATTATGAGGCTAAGGAAGGCAAAAATGAACAGAAACAAATTCCTAAAGAAAAGAAAGGAGAAAATTCTAAAGAAAAATTAGAAAATGAAAAAAAGAAAGATGAAGAAGAAGAGGAATGGATAGCTACCCCAGAATGGGTAGAATCTTGGAAGAGTAAATTACCTTTGCAAACAATAATGCGTGTGTTACAAATTTTGGTTCCTCAAGTAGAAAAAATTTGTATTGACAAGTTTGGAATTTCTTTGAAAATTTTTTAGAAATTTTTATTTTTTAGAGGGTTAACTGACGAAAGCGAAATTTTAAAATTTTTACAACATGGAACTCTTGTTGGACTTTTACCAGTACCTCATCCAATACTTATTCGCAGATACATTGCTAATGAAGGGACAAACAATTGGTTTAGAACATACACTTGGGGTGTTATTTACTTAAGGTTTGTTTCATATTTTTTTATAAATGGAAATAGAGAATTATCTTTTTATAAAGATAGGGAGGGATTGTCCTTCAAGAATAAATAAGCTAAATTTTAGAGTTTTTTTCATTTTTTAGTTCGGGTTATTCTGTCACTTACACCTACCTTACATTGGCTCCTGGTTGTTGGACTGTCGAGTTGTTAACCTCCTTCTAGTTTGGGATTAAATAAGTTCCTCTATTTTTCTATTCCATTTGTCTCTACAAAACCTGAGATAAATAAAACTTTCTGTTAAGTTTTTAGTAACAGTTTTTTTGATTTTTAAGAAATGTTGATCCAGCTATTTGGTATGACACAGAAGTAAATCTTTTTGAAATTCAAAATGCCTAAAGAGGAGAAAAAAAATTAATTTAAAAAGGGCCAAATACATAATAAATATATTCAATAATTTTTATAATTTTGGGGCTTGAAAATTTAACAATTATTTTTAAAAATATATTAACAGAAAAGATATTTTAAAAAAGCTATATTTGTGATGCTTGCTAATAAATTGTAATTTTTTATTATTTTTTTCAATTAATATTTTATTGAAATAATTTTATGAAATATTTTTATTTTATTTTTTAAATTTAATTTTAATAAAATTTTCAGGTTTTTTTAGAATAGATACATAGTTTATAAAATTATGAGTTATAATTATTTATTTAAAATTGTTGTTGTTGGTGATCATAATGTAGGAAAATCGGTTAGTTTCATTTAATAAATTTTGCTAGTAGGGATGGGGTTATTTAGTGGGGACATTTTCTTGTTTCGAAAGTTGGCTAAAAGTAATGTGTTTTTCTGTTTGGTGCGAACAAAGGAACCGTCTTCCCATATTTAATTACCCTAGAAATTTGTAAGGACTCCCCTTGGACTGGCTTATTTCTGAATCTTACATAACATTTAAACACTACCAAAATATTTTATTTTTCAGTGTATTCTTTTACGATTTGCTGAAAATGCCTTTAGAGCAGACCATATCAGTACATTAGGCGTTGATTTTAAATTAAAAACAATAAAATTGGGACGTGACAAAATTCGGTTAGAACTTTGGTTTGTTTATTTTTTTTAGATTTTATTAAAATATTTTTTTATTTTAGGGACACTGCAGGAATGGAAAGATATCGGACTATATACAATTCTTATTATCGTATTATTTAATTTTAAATGTTTTTTATTTCTCAAATTTTTCAATTTAAGATTCAGCACATGGAGTTGTTTGTGTTTTTGATATTGTTAGTTTTTTTAAATTATTTTTTGGAGTTATTTAAAGGTTGTCTCTTCTATTTTTAAAAAAGTTGCACAGTCGATTAGTTTTAGACACGGCTTTCCCAGGTATGGGTTCAGGGACCTTAACTTGTAAATTTCTTTAACCGTCCATAACCACTTTCAGTAAGTTATAACCGTTGAAGGAGCCGGGACACATTTTTAAAATATTTTTATTCTGAAAGTGAACAAATAAGGAATTCAAAATAATTTTTAGACCAGTGAAAAATCATTTGAAAATCTCGAGAATTACTGGCTTACTCAAGTTAAAGAACACGCACCTCAAAACGCCGTATTACTTTTGGTTGGGAATAAAGCGGATATGGAACCGGAACGAAAAATTGAGTTTGATAAAGCTGAAAGGTTTTAAATAAAGTTTTTTTGGAAATTAAAAGAAAAATATTTTTAAAGGTTAGCAAAAAGATTGGGCGTTTCACTTTTTGAGGTTAGTGCAAAAACGGGAATTAATTGTGAAGATGCCTTTGTGGAGTTAGCTACGGTTATGCGAGACCGACTTTTGGCTTCAGGTCTTTTTACTTACTATAATGCATTGATCCCTAAAAGGCTTCATGAGAATTCGGATTGGGATGTATTTGACCTACTTTTTATTAAGGGAGTTAAACTTCTTATGGAGTGTCTTTTAGAGAATTTTTCTTTAAATTTTTTATTGAAGGAATTTCTTACAAAATTAGAGCAATTTAATTTTTATATTTAGCAAATTCTGACTCTGACGACTCTGACCGTTTATCAACTGCCTTTCACATCGATGGTGCCATATCACATGAAAAAATGAGTAGTCGTTTAATTGGTGTTGTCCCTAACTGTTGTTCAGGTGAAAGTACTCCAAGAGCTACTTTTGTTTAAATGAAAGGATGGGAAAAAAGAATTTCTTGTCAATCAAAATAAAAAAGCATTTTTCACTTTAAATTTTTTTTGATTTTATAAAATGTGTTCATTTCTGCCTTTCTGATTGTGAATCTCACCCAGAAGATGGCTGCTTTTTTTAAATTAATTTTATTTTTCAAAATTTGTAATGCTTTAATAAAAAGATTGAATTAAATTTATTTTTTATTTTTCTAAATGTTTTTTAAACATTTTTATTTTTTAAATTTAATTTTGTTTAATTTTTTTCAGTAATGTTTTGCTAATATTAAAAGATACTAATGCAGCCATCACCTGCGTCAAATCCTGATCTTGAAGCAAGACAAGCAGCGCAGTTTGGAGATGTTAATAAGTTATTGAGGTAAATAAAAATAATTTATGAGGTGATAAGTTGTGTTGGTAATCCTAATGAGCATAGGAGCGATCCAAAATAAAGTTTCCTAATGGCATTTAGGTTTTGAGTCTGATTTTAAATTTTTTAGAATAAATTTTTTTTACTCATTTGCTTGATTTTGGCATTTCTCTCTATCCTTCCTCTCCTTTTCCTCTCGTTTACCAAACTTATTAGACTGTTTCTTTTTTTATTTCAGTTTATTGGACTCTTGTTCTGTCTCCCCAAATTCGGTAAATTCTTTCTTAATTTTAATAAATTTGAAACAATTCAGGTAGATCAAGATGACTGTTCACTCCTCCATTGGGCTGCAATAAATAATAGAATAGAGGTTTTTAAAATTTTGAAAATTAGTTTAGATAATTCTCTAAAGGCTGCAAAACTTTTATTACAACGAGGTGCTAATGTAAATGCCGTTGGGGGTGTTTTAGCCTCAACACCTTTACATTGGGCAGCTAGACATGGACACGCTAGAATGGTTGCAGTTTTGGTATGAAAAATTTTCAAAAAAATTTTTAAAGTTTAATTAGGTGAGGAATGGTGCTGATTGGACTATTCGCGATGTTGAAGGTTTTACTGCTTTACATGTAGCTGTCCAATTTGGTTGTATTCCTGTTGCTGCTTACCTTGTAATTTTTTTATTTAAAAATACTTTTAATTAAATTGTTTAGATAGCAATGGGACAGTCTCCTGATGAATTGGATACAACAAGAATGACCCCATCTATATGGGCAGCTTATAAAGCTTGTAGTAAAGATTCTTTAAGAATGCTTGCAAAATTGGGGGCTGATCTGGAAAAAACTGATTCTACTTATAGGTATTTATATTCTCTTTAAGTTAGGGAACAATAGGTTTAATTTATCAGACAAAAGTCAAAATCGTGTCATAATTTGAGTAAAATTTCATAGTTAATTTTGGCAATTGTCAACTATCACTTTTAAATACTAGATACCTAGGGTCGATTCCTGTGACAGTTTTTGTCAGTAGTTAATTCCTTTACCCTGCACAGTTATAATCCCATCTAATTATTTACAAAGAAATTTTATTTTCTTTTAAAAGAAATTCACCTCTCCATTGGGCTGTTGCTCAAGGCAATCATATGGCAGTTAGTACACTCATTAAATTAAATGTTAATTTATCTCAATTAAACAAAGTATGTTTTTTAACTTTAAATTTTATTTAAATTAATTTTTAAAAAAGGAAAATGAAACTCCATTGGACATTGCAAGGAGACGGGGCGACCTCCTTTCTGTTCGTTTAATTGAAATGGCAGCTCGTGAACAAGGCTTAATTCCTTCAAAGTGCAGACAAAAATTGCGTGATAATATGGTTAGTTTTTAATTTTATATTTTTCGGGGAAGATTCAGTGGAGTAATACTGTCCTGGTTACAACAAAAATCCCGACTTGTTTGTTGAATTAAAACTCTGGAAAAATTCATTGGACGGGAGATGGAGTAGGAGATCGCGGCACAACCGACTGTGCCACTATCCAACCTGATAATGGTGTATTTCAGGGATCGCACCGAAAAAATTCCCGATTCCCGAAAATCGGGAATTCCCGACGTTTTTTGGCTCGTGAATTCCCGATTCACGAAAATCGGGAATTCAAAATTTTCGTGAATTCACGATTCACGAAAATCGTGAATTCGAAATTCTCGTGAATTCTATAGTAAAGCCTAGGGACCAAATTCAAAGTTTCAGCCTAATCGCCTAGTTCAAACAAAAAGCTTCCAAACAAATTAAATAATTTTATTTTCCAATTAATCAAATTAAATCCAATAATTAAAAACAAGCCAACAATAATAGAGCCAATAAGTAAGAGCCAACCAGTGAACCAAGGAAATGGAACAGAACAGAGCAGAGCTTATGAGACAGACAAAAGCAAGCTAATGTGGGTTTTGGAGGGAAGATTATATAGGCCAGGAAAATAGGCGGGTGAACAAAGTTAAGAAAAACAACATTCCAAAAGTGGGCAAAAAAGTAGAAATTAGTGAATAGCGGCTGGTACAAAAAAATGAATTAGATAGATGCGCTTAAAGAAACAAAAGAAGGCTAATTAAAAAGTTAGAAATAGAAAAAATTTCTTAAACAGAAAAGAATTTCCTAGACAGCAGGTGCGGTTAAAAATAATTTAGATTTAGAAAAAAAACAAAGATTGGAATTTAAAGAAAAAATAAATTTTAGAAAAAATAAACTTAAATAAATTGAATTCTAATTGTCGCCTTTCGCGACATTCCCGGCCCCCAATTGTTTTCTTTCTTCTATTGTTTCTTTGTCATCTCGGATCATCATTGCATCAGATTGTCTCGCGCGCCATAAAGTGAGTATGGCAGGTTGATTGAAGACGCAGTGAATTTCGGTTCGTCCTCTATGGCCATAGGGTGTGAAGCGTTCACGTGTGGACCTTTCTCTTTTATTTCGACTTTTTTCTCTGGTGCGCGCCCTTGTGTAAGCAGTCTTCCTTTTCGTCCATCTCCAGCATTGGCATCCCATCCTTCCAATAGCCACAATCACCCGAAAGTTTTTATGACATGATCGACAAAGAGTAAGCACAGAACAGAGTCCAAAAAACGCGGTTAGAGTAACAAGTGCCCAAGGAACAGCAAGGCGGTCGATACAAAAGGTGCATTCATTTACAGCCGGATAAGTCATCTCTGTCTGAAACATTTCTCGCGAGCTTTTCCAAAATTTGGCCACAGAATGATAATCAGTCCAAAGCATCTCAGTGGGTGATTCATCACAACATATTTCCATTTTTCGATTTCCAGTTGGACCAAAGACCATGACGCAAACAAGACAAAGTGCCACCAATGTACTTGCTGCTAGTTTAGCCTTTGCCACTGTAACTATCGGATGTTTTACTAACTGGTTTTGATCGGCTGAGTCAATCTTCAAAGGAATTGCTCCATGTGGTACCACCAAATCATTAGGCCGTAAAGGCAACGGCGCGACAGCTTCCTTAGCATGATTTTGCACGGGAGACTCCATACTCCGGAAATCTTCAACAGTGTCAGGCGTTGGGAGAGGTTTATTGTTACTCGCATTTACTGCCACCAAAGACATAGATTTCTTGTTCGAATTGTGTCCAAAATTAGTTTCGCCAGCGGTCATTGTTCCAAAAACGGTTTGAATAGAGTACAGGCCTGGTAAGATTTGCTTCTCTTTTGATATAAAGAATTTCCAAAATTGTTTAATTCCAATCATAATATCTGGTTTTTCTCTCACAATTTCCAAGCTATCAACTCCAGTACGGTTATAGAAGAATTCATCAAAATTTATCATATCAAATGGAGTAGCGATTTCTTCGGTACAATTTAGGGCAATTTCTTCCCAATTTCCATCGGTTCTTTGTATTTTAAGCATGTACGTGGGTGATCGGATTTTCAGCGGGTTGGACGAAGCTCCTCCAAATCCATGAATCTCCAATTGATCAACTTCGCGGCCTCTAGGCGGGTTTAGTTTTTCCACTAATCGGCGAGAAACAAAGCTAGTCTGGCTTCCAGTATCAAAGAATACATAAACAGGGATTCGTTCTTTACGGCCTCTAGCAGTGACCATTAATCTTTTTGTCATCAGGTACGCAGCTGGTTTATTTTTGGCATTCGTTACTGTTGCTACCACAGAATTTTCTTTAGGCGCTGGCAAGTTAGCGTCACATCTTGTCCCATGATCAATAGCGTGCGGTTCATCCCTTCTTTCCCATGTTGACTGAGTAAATTGTGTTGGGCTAGCAACTGGTTCAACACGATTAGGCTGAAAGAACGTTCTCTGAGCAGATCCAACAAATTTAGGTTGAGTTTGATTACTTCCATCATGCGAAAAGCATACAAAAAAATGATGTCGTCCCTGGCAATTACTACAGCGACGGTGGTTCGGGCAGTCAATAGCTCGGTGACCATCTCTTAGGCAGTTCAAACAACGGTTCTGTTCCAACAAACGGTCCCTTTTTGCTTTTGGATTTCCATATTTAGTACATTCGCTTGGGAAATGGTTTCCTTCTTGGCACAGAGAGCAACAGAGCGGTTTATATTGGCTAGCAACTGGAAATGAACGAGTAGGCTCGGGTTGATAAAATGGTCGTCCGTCTCTTCGCGGCGGTCTTTCTGGCTCCTTATTAGCGGTACATCTTTGCACTTCCTCTTCTACTGATATGAGCAGGTTGAGTTCTGACCTCCAATTCTCAATCTTCCAAATTCTTCCGGCCATTCTTTCCTTTTCAATCAATCTGGCTAATATTCCTCGAGGCAGCTTTTCCTTCAGAGCGAATATAATCCATGAATCATCTTGGATCCCATAATCACCCAATTGTCGGCAAACACGCTCAATTGTGTCCAGGAATTTCCTCAGTCCTATTACTGAATCATTAGCAGGCGCAAGGTGATACAGCTCAGATTGCAATGCTTCCTTCAATGCCCTTGTGTCTCCATATCGCGATTGTAACAGTTCCACCACCCGAGGGTAATTTTCGTTCGTCGGAAGGTAACCGGCTACTACGTTTAGAACTGGTCCATCCAAAAGAGAAAGCAGGTAGCTCATCTTTAACACATTGTCATAGCTTGGTTCGTTATCGATCGTGGATGAGAACATTTGCCAAAAGGTTGGCCATTCTTTTGCGTCACCAGAAAAATGCGGCAACTGAAGTAGGGGAAGGTTAACTCGTGGTTGAGGCGCGTGGTATCCAGCCGTCCCTGCATTATTCCTCCCTGAATTATTTATTTCCAGCTGATTTAGTCTAGCATTCAAATCCTCTATCCCAGTAATATTTATCCTAGCATCCAAATTATTTGTTCTAGCATTATTTATCTCATTTAAATCCACACTAGGGTTATTCTCACTCAGCGCAGACTGTCGAGAGTTGGTTTGGGAGCGCTCCAAGCTTTTGATTGTTTCCTTCACCATATTTAGAACCTCACGAGCAAATTGATTCTGATCCAGAAAGTGCCTTTGAAAAAGTAGAACCTCTTTTCCATCCTCAAATCTACCAGCTTTGTGCGGGAAACTCATGTACACAGATTCTTCGGCCATTCTTTGCGGTGCATCCAGGCTATCTATATAGTTGCCCCATTTATCATCTAATTCAGCAATTAGCGCTATGGCAGATTCCAAATTCGCCTTTTCCACCCCCAATTTTCCAGCTGTGTCCTCGTCTATTTCTTCGTTCATAATTTGAGTGGCATTCTTCGTATAAGCTTGTATGGATTCCAGAACTGTGGTAAGGCCTCGTCGAATACGTCCAGACATTGTTTACGAGCCAATTCAGTCCAATTTAGATCAGAGCAATAAATTTCCAAAAAGTTCCACACGGAGACCAGGATGGTTTCCCGGCCGTTGCACCAACAAATTTATAGTAAAGCCTAGGGACCAAATTCAAAGTTTCAGCCTAATCGCCTAGTTCAAACAAAAAGCTTCCAAACAAATTAAATAATTTTATTTTCCAATTAATCAAATTAAATCCAATAATTAAAAACAAGCCAACAATAATAGAGCCAATAAGTAAGAGCCAACCAGTGAACCAAGGAAATGGAACAGAACAGAGCAGAGCTTATGAGACAGACAAAAGCAAGCTAATGTGGGTTTTGGAGGGAAGATTATATAGGCCAGGAAAATAGGCGGGTGAACAAAGTTAAGAAAAACAACATTCCAAAAGTGGGCAAAAAAGTAGAAATTAGTGAATAGCGGCTGGTACAAAAAAATGAATTAGATAGATGCGCTTAAAGAAACAAAAGAAGGCTAATTAAAAAGTTAGAAATAGAAAAAATTTCTTAAACAGAAAAGAATTTCCTAGACAGCAGGTGCGGTTAAAAATAATTTAGATTTAGAAAAAAAACAAAGATTGGAATTTAAAGAAAAAATAAATTTTAGAAAAAATAAACTTAAATAAATTGAATTCTAATTGTCGCCTTTCGCGACAAATTCACGTTCCCGATTCACGACATTTTTTTGTAAAATCGGGAAAAAATCGGGAATTTTTATTAATTATTTGAGCTAAAAAAGTTAGAAATCTGATGGCTTGGTCTTTAAAAATTCTCAAAATTTTCGCCTGCGGCGCTAAAAAAGGAAGAAATATGGTGGCTTGGTCTTTAAAAATTCTCAAAATTTTCGCCTGCGGCGCTAAAAAGGAAGACTTATGTCTTCTTTGCCTACGAAATTCTTAAAATTTTTGCCTGCGGTGCAGAAAATTGAAAAAATCTGGCTGCTTGAGCTCCAAATTTTAAAAAATTTTCGCCTGCGGCGCTGAAAATGGAATAATTATGAGAAGATCGAAAGATTCAGAGAGATAACTTCAAATCCTCCTTATGTTAGTCCCACGGTATCATTCGATGTGTTTCAACTGATCCATATACCCTGTCCCACATCCCTCTTGTTCTTCCCATATCTCTTCGAATCCTCTGAAATCCATATTGCGCGTGATATCAAGGGCTCAAGAGGGGTAAGTTGTATATCAGTAATTTGGAAAGCTGGGAGATCCAATTTATCTCTTGATCACTCTTAATCCTCCAACTGCCCTAATATCCTTCAATCAATCTTTATTACCTCAAATGCCTTTATTCTTGAACACTTATACGCTTAAATATCCAATAATCAATTAAGAACCTCTAGTACATCTAACCCCTAGTAATTACTTTCCCCAAGGCAAAATTCCCGAATTCCCGAAAATCGGGAATTCCCGACGATTTTTGGCTCGTGAATTCCCGATTCACGAAAATCGGGAATTCAAAATTTTCGTGAATTCCCGATTCCCGAAAATCGGGAATTCAAAATTTTCGTGAATTCCCGATTCCCGAAAATCGGGAATTCGAAATTTTCGTGAATTCCCGATTCCCGAAAATCGGGAATTCGAAATTTTCGTGAATTCCCGATTCCCGAAAATCGGGAATTCGAAATTTTCGGGAATTCACGATTCCCGAAATCGGGAATTTTGTTTTTATGTCGGTGCGATCCCTGGTGTATTTATTCTTTCTGCAAGTGTGGAGACACCAGTTATTTTCAATTGAATATGCCCAATTTAAACTTAATCCTAATAATGATTCTCCTTTTTTTAGAATATTCGCCGTTCGGTTATTTTTTCTCTTCCATTTTTCGCCATTTTTTTCGGTTCTCTAATTGCCAGTTGTTCACTTTCTACCATTACAAAATTAGAATTCTCTTTTTGTTTAACAGCATTTATTTTATTTTTATTCAGGTTTATTTTATTTTTATTCAATTTTAAAATTTAATTTTTCAAAAAGATATTTCTCAAAAGATCGTCAAGAATATGCTCTCAGAATTTTACTGTTTGGATTAGCAATTTCTTCAAAATTTTATATGATTTTTGCCTGGCTAATGTTCATTCATTCTGTTGTTGCCTGGCATATGCAAATTGCTTTTCTTTTCTTTCTTGTTTTAGTTCCTTACTTAACTCATCAAATAGTCACTTCTGATCCCGGTTTTGTTGTTGTAACGCATAAGGTTTATTTTTTAATTTTCAGAAATTTTTTTAGAAATTTAAAAAAAATGTTTAATTTAAATTGTACTGTCTTGAATTTCCGGCCTCTATTTCTAATCTAGTCCGAACCAATAAATCCCTTATCCTCTAATAAGAGAATATTTATTTTTATTTATGCAATTTGCCCATTTTAGGTTATCATTTCAAAAGAAACTTTAGAATATCCGGAGCCGAATTGAACGCTCCTTCGCGCTCCTTTGCCCTAATCCATTTTCTTTTATTGCTAACTGAATAAATATTCATTAACTTAAAATCTTTCACAAACTCTTGAACTTAAAAAAAATTTAATTATATATTTTAGGAACGTTGTCAAATGATTATTTCAATGACGGAAGAAGTCCTTTGGGACGGCAATTTTTGTCCAACTTGTTTAATAGCTCGTCCAATACGTTCTAAACATTGCGCGTTTGTTTTTATTTTAAATTGAATATTTTATAAAGTTAATTTTTAGAGTTTGTGATAAATGTGTTCTTCGATTTGATCATCACTGTCCTTGGTTTTTTAAATTTCTTTAAAATTTTTTCTATAAAGAATTGTTTTTCAGGGTAGCTAATTGTATTGGAGAGAAAAATCATAGTAAATTAAATTTAAAATATTATTTATTGGCTCACGACCTCACTTATTTTTAATTTATCCTCTATCTGACAATGTGTGTGTTTGTGTGAGTTAGTGAAAGCGTCAGTCTAGTTGAATCATACTAGCCGGTTAGTCCTTGATTCCTTTTGTCTTTTACTCCCCAGTCCACCTTCACACACATTATACATTTCTACATCGGATAGACTTTATTCTTGTGCATGTCAACATCAAATAACCCTCGGACATAACACAATGAGTCAAACGTTTAAAATAAGAAAAAAAAATTATTTTTAAAATTATCTTTTCGTTTTCCACTGAAAAATCAAAACAGCATTTCTCTGCTGATTTAATAAATCCATTTATTTTTTTCAGGACTTTTCTTTGTTTATTTGTTTGTATTGGATCTTGCTTGTATTTTAATGTTTGTTGGCTCTACTTTTTGTAAGAGCGTAGAAGAAATTTTTCTAAGAAATTATTTTAAAGATTGGAAATTTGTTTGTGGAGATATTTCTAATCCAAATGTGATTCTCTTTTGTTTGCCATTTGTTACAGTTTTGGGTTTTATGTCTTCAACTTATTTCTTTTTTATAACAACACTATTGGGAATACAAACATATCAGGTAAAAAAAATTTTTTTTTGTAAATTTTGAACGAAATGGAAACGTGGAATATTATTTAAATTTTATTTAATATTTTTTCTTTTCAGATACTGACAGCTGTAACAACAAATGAGCGGATTAATTCATATAGATACTCTTATTTTCGACTTTCTGATGGGCTAAGAAGTCCTTTTAGGTATTTTTTATTTTATTATTGAGTGACTTAGTGGGAAAAGTCCTCATTTTTAAGCTTGAACAGGGATCGGATATTCCTGATTCCGATATTTTAGACAATTTAATCTACACTTCTATATAAATATTTTTGAAAATAATTTTTAGCAAAGGATGTCTTGGAAATGCACGTAATTTTTGGTGTCCATCCTCTTCTTTTGAAAATTCCAATAGCAATAATCTCAGAAATAATAATGCAGAAACTACTAATTTATTAGCTTAGAAAAATTAAAAAGACCTTAACAAAAGACTAGTAATTTTAAAATTGTTTATTTTTATATTTTTATTTTGAGCCATCACATACATATATTTAAAAGTGATCTCTGACCGTTAACTTTTCAAGGCTTTTTAGAATTAGGTTTAACAGACCTTGTTGATAACTGGAACCTAGTTAAAACTGAAAGACGCATTCGGGTTGTCAAGAATTCCTTAATTGTTGATATTTTTTCTTAATATATTTTTACATTATACTTTTGATTGAAAAGTCGAATAATAAAGTTTCCATAACAAAATTAACTAATTTAGAAATCAAATAAAAATTTTGTTTCGAGGAAATAAAAAATTCTGGAAACAAGTCGAAGAATTGTTTCCAACTGCGCTATTTTATACGCAAATTTTTTCCGAATATTTACAACGGATTTTTAAATTTCTTAATTTTAAAAGTAAATTCTAGTGTTTGACTTTTAATTTTAAAAATATCTGACAGTTTGTCTAAAAATAGTTAACGGTCATTTTTTAAATTTGGCACTTGTACTTGTGAAAATAAACAGAAAATCACACCTATATATTGACAGGCATTTTTTCGCAAATATTTAAAAAAGTTCTTGCTAGAACAAATTATAAATTACACTCATTTAATTTTGCTTCATTTATTTTTTGTGTGAAATAATAAATTTTAATAGAAATTAAAAAAAATATTTTTAAAATTTCGTTAGAAAGTCTGAAAAATATTTTCCAAAAAATTGTTTTTTGTGACTAAAAATGGATTTTTATTTTAAAATTTTTAGAAATCTTTTGCTATATTTATTTAAAATATTTACCATTGAAATGAATGACACATCATCAACTTCCTCTGATGATAGCAGCGATATTTTTTCTCATCTAAATCCAACAGAAGCTGAACAAATTTTATTTTTAAAGTCAAATGTGCTTGAGGAAAAATTGAAAATTGCAAATCTTGAAATTGTTAAATTACAAGAAAATGAAGGAAAATTTAAAGAAGAAATTGACAAGATTAAAAATGAAAACAAATTAATTTCTGAATTATATAGCAGTCAAAAAGAAGAATTAAGTAATGTGAGTTTTTTTGGTGATAAAAATTTTTAAATAAATTTTAAAATTAATGCGAGGGAAGGCAGGGTGGTCCTTTACAAATCACCAAAAGGGGGCATGGCCTCTCAGAAAACGGGCAAAAATGAGGCGAAATCGGACAAAAATGGGGCAAAACAAGGCGTTATTTTAAACGCTTAAAAATAATTAAAATTACAAAAAACGCTGCATATTTTTCACGCGGTTCGAATTCTTTTTCAGCGCGGGAGGCGAAAATTTTCTGATAGAAAAAGGGGAGCTGAGGGAAGGGGATTTAATTTTAAGGAGACTAATTTTAATTTTAGATTAACAAAAAGTTTGACAAATTGGCTTTGGATATGGAACAATTTACTTTTAAACATGTTGTTAGTTTATAATCAAATATTTTTTTCTAAATTTATTTTTCAGTCATTTATTTTACTTCAAAATAAATGGATAAATGTTGATACAGATTGGAATCCTTGTTGCACAAATAAATGTATTAACACAAACAGACGTACCGGGAAATGTGCTAATAAGAATGGATTTATTGAATTAATAAATGATTTGGATGTTAAATACAATAATTGTGTTAAAGGAGAGGGTAGGCTTCTTTTATAGATCAACCAATTCAAATTAAACCAAATCCTCTGGGTTTTGTGACAGATTTGTATAGCTGTGGATTGTCCTTTGCGTATGCTCACTTGAATTTCTATTTTATTCCTAAGAGTTTATAACGTAATATCCTACCTAAATTTACGGGAGCAGGCCAAGCTACCGCAAAGCTATAACTTCGTTCAGAATTGTCGAATCCGGAACGCCCTAGTAAGGTTTGATGGAACGCCCTAGTATGGCGCCTCGACGAACTGAATCAACCTGTACTAGGGCGCCTCGGATTCAACAATTCTGAACGAAGTTATAGCTTTGCGGTACCCTGGGCTTGCGGTACCTTGAGGTGTATTCTAAATTTACTTATGCCAAGGCTTTTGGAATGGTTGTTAACAAAGTATAAGGATCTGTCTCAATTTCAATTGGGTTAACTCAATCCGCAAAATTCTTTTACTTTTTCTCCAAAACAATTCAAATAATTTAAAGGTGTTAATAAGAAAGCTTTTGTATATTCACCAAATAGATTCATCAAACCACACAATTATTTTACTTTTTCTCTATTTTATTTCGAAGTAAAATGCCAAATGGAAAATAATTTTGATGAAATTGAGATGCAAATAGGTGTTAATACAAACAATATATTTATTAGATTACAAGCAAATGAGTCTAAAATTTATTATGGATTCCAGTCAAAAGAAGGAAAAGAATTTAAAATTGACTCGTTTATCTTTGAAAATAACGATATTCTTGGATGTGGATTAGTCTATCCGATAGTTGGTGGTTTAGTTGAAAAATTGCCTTATTTATTTTTTACTCAAAATGGAAAGCAAATTGGTTTGGAGGAAATTAATTTAAATAAATTAATTAAAAATTAATTTAAAGGGAAGGCTGTTTTACTTGAAGAAAATAAAGAAGTTTATGAACCTTTTATTTCTTTAAAGTGCTGCTCTGTTGAAACAAATTTTGGGAATGATTTGAAGGATAAACCTTTTAGCTATGACGTTTCTAAGCATTTTTTGCTTGATGAATTTTATTAAATGAATGAGGGGTTGAGAGTTTGACTGAGATTTAAAAATATTTTTTGATGATTTATTCTTTAAAAGAATTTTGTTTTGAATTTTAATTTATTAAGGAAAAGCCACTTTACCGCAAACCAATTTGAATAGTTCAACATCAGGGGTGGGACTAGTCCCATAAAATATATCCCCAAAAATAGTCCCACAGATTCACGAGATACGAGATTCTCAAAAACAATACGAGATACGAGACCTAAAAACGCCTAAACCCACTCCTGTTCGACATGTCCTAAAGGGATGCGCGATTAATATTTAAATCGACTAAATTTGTCAATGTTAAAATTTGATAATAAACCCTGCGGTAAAGTGGAAGAAGTATGTCCGAAGATTTTATTTTTCAATTTGTTACTTTTTGGAAAAATAAAAAATATTTTTTTACTTTTTCTAGACTTTTTATTCATTTATTATTTTTAAAATAAAATATTTTAAATAATTATTAACTTTTTTTTTAAATATTTTTTAGAATTTTTTCCTTAAATTTAAAATGAGTGATATACCAACATCCTCATCTAATGACTATATTGATGAACAAGAAAAGAGACGAAAAAGAATTCGAACTTTGGAGGTTAAGAAAAAATAATTTTTTATAAAAATAAATTTAAATTCAATTTTAAAGAATGAAATGAAGGTTATACAAACAGAAATTGATTTGAGTAGTTAGTCACCCCACTTTATTTCCCTTTCTTTCCCAAAAAATTTCCAGAGCAGTTGAAAGGTTTGGGAAGGGGGCGGTCTTTAGTAGTTAGTAATACCACTTTTTCGTGGGAGAATTAATGACCTTTTTTGGCGCAACCAAAAGGTATAGGGGGGTTTCCCTTTTGATCCTAAAGGTTTAGGGGGTTTCCCTTTTGATCTTCTAAGGGTTTTGGAGGGGTCTAATTAAAATTAATTACAGTATACCAACTTCGCGCAAATTTTATCAAGAGACAATCCAAAGGTTTAGGAGGTTTCCTTTTAATATCCAAAGGGTTTTGCAGGGGTCTAATTAAGATTAATTACAGTATACCAATTTCGCGCAATGTTTTTCAAGAAAAAACCCAAAGGTTTAGGAGGGTTTTCCTTTTGGTTTTAAGGGGTTTCTGGTCAAATGTCTTTTTATATTTTGGTGCAATGTTTTTCAAGACGCAACCCAAAGGTTTAGGAGGGGTTTCAAAAAGGGGTTCTGATTAATTATCATTTGTCACAAATTTTCTTTTTGGTTTTGTGAGGCAACCCAAAGGATTAGAACAAGTTTCTGTTTAATTTCACCCGCTTTTCCTCTAGTTTTGAACGTTTCAGATTGATGAATAATTATTTTTGTTAATATAATAATCTGTTTAAAGACGTTTCTTTTTGAGTCTGGATGTTTTTAAGATAAACAACAAAAGTTTTAGAGCTTTGTTGTTATCCGTTTTTCCTCAGAATTTTAGGAATTTTTTAAATTAAGATTGATTATCTTTCAACATATTGGCGCAAGTCTTTCAACAAAACCTTTTCACACACGATTTTAACGCTCCTAACTTCTATCTTTTATGTTTTTTGACACAACCCTAAAGCTATAAAATGTTTTATTTTTGAGATTTCAAAGATTTTAGATGTTTTTTTTGTGACTTTTAATTATCTTTTACCACTAAAGAATTTTTTGTGGAATCCTAATGCTTAGTTGCATTTTCTTCAAAATTTAAATGTGATTAATTAATGATAATTTTTTGATCAAACTTTAATAAAGTTTAGGGCGGTATCCCTTAGATGTTAAGACACTTTCTCATAGTTTTTGGTAAAAATGATTACTTGCTGATAATTTATCTCATCAAAAATCAAACTTCTTTTTCTCATAAAATTTAAATATTCCTTTTCTATTAAACATTTCTTTTCTAATTTTATCTTTTTCTATATTCAAATCTTTTATTTTTAAAAATCTATCAATCAAATATGCAAATTTAATCTCAATCTAATTTCAAATTTTTCCTTTTATTTCTAAAAATCTATCAATCAAATATGCAAATTTAATCTAAATATCTAATCTAAATTCAAATCTTTATTTTTAAAAATCTATCAATCAAATATGCAAATTTAATCTCAATCTAATTTCAAATTTTTCCTTTTCTAAAAATCTATCAATCAAATATGCAAATTTAATCTAAATATCTAATCTAAATTCAAATCCTTATTTTTTAAAAAGCTGTCAATCAAATATGCTAATTTAATTTTAAATCTATTCTAAAAAGTGTTGGCTTTATTCTTTAAATTTTTTCAATCAAATATGCTAATTTTAAACTAATCTAAATTCAAATCTTTATTTTTAAAAAATCTATTAATCAAATATGCTAATTTTATCTAAATTCAAATCTTCTCTTTTATTTTTAAAACCTGTCAATCAAATATGTTATTTATTTATCATCTAATCTAAAAGGTATATTTATTTTCAAAAACCTGTCTTTAATATATCTAGTGATCAACCAACTGATCAAGCGAGTATTAATTTATTTAGTGATCAATCAAAAGATATTAAAAGAGTGAATAAATGTATCATGTATATAATTGAGTGATCAAAGTAAATGAGTGGTCAATCAAGTGATCAAGTGACTATTTGAGTGATCAATCAAAAGATTGAGTAAAAGTATCATGTATATAATCGAGTAGGTAAAGTAAATGAGCGGTCAATCAAGTGATCGAATAATCAATTTAAAATTTAAAAGGCTAGTGATCAATGAAATTTATCATGTAATAAAAAATGTGAATAAGTGATCAGATGATTGATCAAAAGTGATCAAGTGATAAAGTTATTAAAATTGATCAAACTACAATCAGTTTATTATGTGATCAATTAATTGATCGAAATCAATCGTGTGATCAATATACTGAAAAGTGACAGTAAAGAGTGATCAACAGAGGGGGTGATCAGTTCTTTATACCAAGAGATTAAGCGATTGATCAGATCAACCGGAGTTTACTAAAACTATCATTTAAAATTTTTTAATTATTTTTTTACTTTTTTTCATTTTCAAACCCCCAAAATAGGGTATTTGAAAACCCCAAAAGAACAAGAGTTAAATAGGTAAAATCTATTAAAATTTAATTGCCATCTTTTAAATAAAGGTGTTGGGGAAGGACTACTAAATTTTTAACTACTGATGAAAAGATTTTGAGGGATTCGTTTGTATATAAATAGGTTTAAAGTTTTTAAAAATTATTTCAAAATGAAATTTAAATTTATTATTATAACATTATTTTTCCATAAAATTTTAGCTGAAGCTAAAAATTTATCTGAATATAAAATATGGCAGTGTGAGAGAGCTATAACTTTATTTCGAAGAAAACCTCCTTCGATAAATTTCAAAGAAGTTTTAAACATAGGCGTACCAAGAGACCTGGAGTATAAAGAAATTTGGACCCCATACGGTCATCATTGGTGGGTTTGGGATGAGAAAGAAAAAGCTATTATACCAATATATTATGGACCTCCGTCAAAACCTAAACCAGAAAAAGATGATGGTATATTATATCTCGGATGGATATTCATAAAAGAAACAAGTTCAACAGTTATTGAATTTTTCAAAACTATTTTCAGTCCTTTAGCAGACCTAAAATTCCAAAGAGGGATGTTTAGAAAGTAGTATAAAAAGCGAATTATCAAACATATTTTCATTTCCTTGGCTCATTCTTTCAAAATTATCTAAGATGAACAATAATAAAATTCTCACTCGACAAGTTTTACCTGAAGTAGAAATTAGTATTAATCTGAACGGAATAACAATTTCAAGTGACCGTTTAACTCCTTCTCGTTTTGTAGCGTATGATATTGGGGGCAAGTGTCGTGAATGTAAAAGTACAGAAGTGGAGTTGGATTTTGTTGTCACTAAAGATGGGATTACAATCTATTGCTCACGTATTTCAGGAACTCGTTATGTACCTTTTGATTCAACTTATGAGTTACCAGGAATATGTTTCTTTCGGGTATGTATTTTCTAGTCATTATCTATTAATTTTATAAATTAAGATTAAGAACAAAGGTCGTGTATTCAATATTCCATATGGCTCTGTAAAACCACAACTACCACTTCAAACTCAACAACCGATACAACCAGCAAATCTAAACAACCAAACTACAATATCAGAAAAACAGAATAAATCAAAGCAACCCGCTAATTCACAAAAAACAACAAAACATACAAATGAAAATATCCTCAAAGACAAAAGTAAAGAAAATAAAGAAAATGTTTTGCTTAATGAATTTTTTGATAGTCTTGATGCAGCAACAACTGGAATTCCATCACAGATTGAAAAGATGAATAATTTGAAGAAACATGCAGAGATGGAAGAAGAGGAGATGGCTGCTATCGAAGCTTTATATAACATACCTCGTTAATTTTTCTTATTTAAACAAAAATTTTTTATTTTTTTAATTAATAAAATGGAAACTTTAACATTCTCAGATAAAGATTTGAAATTTAAAATTCCTTTTGGTATGATAATTTCTGGTCCTAGTTCTAGTGGAAAGAGTACATTATTACTGAGATTTATTTCTGAAGCCGCAAATTTAATTGAACCCAAACCTAAAAGTATACTCTATTGTTTTGGTGAAATGAGTAATATTGTCCCTATTCTACAGAAATCAGGTGTCAGTGTTTATTCCGGTGTTCCCCCCGAGGATTTGATTAAAAAATATCAGAAGCCATTACTATTAATACTTGACGACTTGCTTATGTCAATTGATGAAAAATATTTGTCCGAGTTATTTACAAAAAAATCCCATCATCAAAATTTTGCTGTCATCTTTGTTACTCAGAATTTATTCGAACGCAAAATTAAAGTTGCAAGACAAAATGCTCAATATATTATTATAATGCGTTCTCCTAACTCTGTCTTATCTGTTCGTAATATAGGCGTTCAACTATTTCCCCAAAAACTCGACTATTTCCTCGATGCATATAGACAGGCAACAAATAAACCTTTCGGTTATCTTGTTATTGATATGCATGCTTCATCTGACCCTGGACTGAGACTACGCACAAGTATATTTAAAGAAGATGAAGAAAAAATTATTTTTATTCCAAAAAATAGAGCATAAATGGTCAGTCAAATTATTCAGAAAAATTCAAAATTTTTACAAGTTCTTGCAAAAACAAGATCTCAACGCAAATTGCAACGTATGCTAAGACTCTCAAATACAAATCAGTTGTTAGCTATAACTGAAATTTGTCTGAATATTATAAAGGATAGACTCAAACTTACACCTTGGCAAAGGAGGCGACTACTTCCATATGCTGATTTTGTGCGCAAAATGAGTAGAGTAAGAAGTGAACACGGGGCTAGAAAAATTTTAAATCAAAAAGGTGGAGGTATTGGAACTTTTGCCGCGTTATTGACCCCTGTTCTCATAGAATTAGCAAAATCACTAGGAAGCTCTATAAAAAGCGACAAATAATACAAAAAGTAACAAATCATGGCAAATAAATTCATTCTTGTTCCCGAAGAAATTTATAAAGGACTAACTACATTTGATACCGGTGAACCTAATCTCGATTTAATTAGAAATGATCTTGAAAAAATTAAAAGAAAGAAAGATAATCCAAGTGCAAAAAATGTAAAATATAACCAAGAACTCAGGCGGTATTTACAAATGAGAAATGAGCAACAAAATAAGCCTGTCAAAGTAGAAATGGTAGCTACGCCTAAGGGAGCAATAATGAGTACCAATTCTACACGTCCATCGTCTAATATAGTCGAAGACGATGATGAAATATTAACAACTGATGATATTTCTCTTCCATCTTTTCCTCAATCCACTAAAGATGTTAAATCGATAATTAATTTTAAACCCCAAAAACTACCTCATCCTCCATCTTTATCATCATCATCCACATCAATTAAAAAACGTTTTAAAAATTGAGGAGAAGCTCACCACCTTCTCCTCCACTACCTCCAACTACAAATCTTAAAATAATAAAGAAGGAAATAGTGTCTGAACCAAACAAAAAATTTTCAAGACGCAAAAGTACAAAATATTCGAAAATAGGTAGTACAAAGCAAGACTCTATTATATTATCACAAGATTTGCCAATAATATCAACTCATCTTTCACCTCAACAACGAATTATTAAAAGAGAATTAGAGCAGGGTGAATTTGAAAATATAAAGAGGAAAAAGACTTATGACAACAGAAGGGAACAAGAAATAAAACAAAAAGAGAATAAATCGAAGGAACTTGATAGGAAACGATATGAAAAAAGACAACAATTATTAGCGAGACGCCGAAAGTCACAGAAACTTAAGGTTCCGTTAGACCCTTATGTTATTCAACAAGTACGTAATAAAGAGAAAAGTGAAGCACCAAAAGGTTTTAGAAAAGTCATGAGAGAGGGAAGATCTCCCTCTCCGCCCTTAAGTCGTCAAAAAATAAAACGAAAAGCGGAGTGGTCGCAAGGAGACGGACATACGATTGCTAAAGTCCAGAGAAAAGTCAACAAAAAACAATCACAAAGAGCCTCGAGATTATGGGTTAAAAATCTGAAGAAAAGAAATGTTTATAAATCAAAAAGTAAATGGGCAGTAAGGAAACCGACACAAAAAGATATCAACAGTTTTAAACCATCTCTTTGGTAAATAAATGGCGGATTATACTAAATTACTTGATGATCTATACAATAACCCAGAATCCCCTGCGGCATTTTCAGGAATTGACAGACTTTGGTATGAAGCACGTAAAGTTCTCAAACATATACCAAGAAAAGTTGTTCAACATTACCTAGAAGGACATAGAACATATACTCTTATGCGTCCTAAACGCATCCGTTTTAAAAGATCAAAAACTGTAGCTGCTGGGTTTATGACAGATGTTCAAGTTGATTTGGCAGATTTCCAACAGTTATCCCAACATAATAAAGGAAATCGTTATTTGCTTCTAGGTATTGATGTTCTATCTAAACGAGTGTTTGGTGTTCCTGTCAAATCCAAAAAGACTGAAGAAATGATAGAAGCTTTCAAAAAATTAATTTCACAAATGCCTATGAAACCTCAAAGGATATTTTCAGATAAAGGAACAGAATTTAAAAATAAACAAATGAAAGATTTTTTTGAAAAAGAGGGTATAAAAAAACATGAACCAACACATTCTATCGTCAAAGCTTCTGTTGCCGAAAGAGCAATTCGTAATGTTAAACAACGACTTTACCGAAATTTTGCTCAAAAGAAAACATTAAATTGGATTGATGTCCTTGAAAAAATTTTAGAAGGAATAAATAAAGCAAAAAGTAGAACTCATGGAATGCGACCTATAGATGTCAATTTTGATAACGCTCAAAAAGTATGGAAACGAATCTATGGAGACATATTTTCTTCAACTAATAATAATAAAATAAAACCAAAACTTAAAAAGGATGATTTTGTACGAATGAGCTTAGAAAAAGGTGCATTTGAAAAAGGATACATACCAAATTGGGGAGATGAAATATTACAAGTGGATAAAATAAAAGAAACCCCTTTACCTATTCAATACAAAGTGCGGGATGATAAAGGTGAAAAGTTCAAAGGTTCGTTTTACAACGAAGAGTTAACTCGTGTAAGAAAGGATGCCGATACAGAATATAGAATTGAAAAAGTTGTGAGAAAAAGAAAGAGACCAGACGGAACCTTTGATATTCTGGTTAAATTTATAGGATACCCAGAACGAGAATGGATTCATGAATCACAATTAGTATAAAAGAAAACATTTTTTCATTATTGTAAAAATTTTTTGTGATAAAATTATGTCAAACAGCTTTTTTGTCTTCCTACCTAGTAATATTCCCGATTATCCCGATAATCGTCCAAATAAATTTAGAGTTCATCTACCAAAACCACTTTATTTTTCTGGTAACTGGGTCTGTGGATTACATAGTATAAATTATCCATATTCTTGGGCAGCAACTATTGGTACACTAGATGATCAATGGATTGATATACATTTTAAAGATAATCTTGGAATGGCTAAAGTTCTAAGAGTCCCGGTTCCAAAAGCGTCGCATACAACTGTTGAAAAATTACATGAATTTTTAATTTCCACACTTCAACATCAAAGCGAAACTTATGGAGCTTCGCCTTTGGAAAAACCTGAAGATTTAGTTGATCTGCCCTCACTTAAACGCCCAAGAAATAAACGTTCATTAGAAGAGTTAAGGCAAATTAGAGTGGGGATCATTCCTAAAGTTGATGAAGTGTTCATAGATTATCCTGATCAATATTGGGACCAAATAAAAATTTTAAAAGATAAACTTGTAGAGGATTCAAAATCTTTAGATGAATTTAAATTAAGAACAGATCAACAACAAGATGAGACTATTAAAAGTGAAATGACAACAACATTTTGGAACCTAAGTTTCAAAAAGAGTGCTTTAGCATCTCGAATTAGAAAATTGGAAGAAGAAGCAAAAAGAAGGGATTTTGAAAAGAACAATTCAGATGTTAATATTGTTGTTGATTTTTTCGAAACTTATCCTGAAAATTACAATGAAATATTAATTATAGACCATCTAAAACTAATAGCTCTCTTCATAGAAGACAAAAAGGAAATACCATTACATTTAGAGGGATTTTTACCAAGATTCAAGAAAGAAATTGAAAAAATGACTAAGAGAGTAAATTTACTTGATGCTGCTGTGCTAAGAAGGGACAAACAAAAAACTGTTAAACAATATAATAGAGAGAATTATTTAACCCATAAAGGTTATGTTGATAAATTTTTCAATGATAACCCTGATTATTGGCCAGCAATACGAAGTAATTTTTATGGGTTGATCGCTACATATCAGGAAATTTCTAATACAAAAACTTTGTATGATGAGGAAACAGATGAGAATCGAAGGAGGGAATTAAATACTAAAATTGATGGACTCAAAAGACTTGTCAATTATAGAATGGATAGATTTAGGGCACTTGAGTTTGAAGGAATTGCTAGAGATAAAGAGGCAGAAGATGAACCTTACAGGCCCCCACCTCTACCAACGTACACAGACATACACCCTCCAGCAACACCATCAACCCCTACATCAATGACTACTCATCAACCTTCTTCTTTAAAGTCTCTACCTGGTTATACCTCTCCAACAAAATCTGTTTCACAAGATCATCAAAAAGGAGATATTTCAGAAAAACACCCTCTTCCACCTGTTATAATCGAGCCTCCCAAATCTACAGATATTTCAAAACCTTCACCGATCCCTGAAACAACAACTCCTGTTCAACCTTCACAACCTGAACCAGCTACCGAGGATCTTTCAAAACTTCCCCTTCTTCCAACCCCTGAAGAAACATTTAGTGATCCATTATGGACAGAAGAAATGGAACAAATATTAACTACTGTACTAGGGAGAACACCCACTCGACAAGCCAGAATAAATTATTTACCGAATATGCCAGCTCTTTTACGACAGTATGGACGTTTAAAGAAGGATAAGGTTGATGCTTCAGTCCAAAAACAAATAATTGATTCTATCGAAATATTATATCACAAGGATTTCGAACGTTTTAAAGTACAATTTACTCATACAAGTATTAAATATTTATCATTTTCCCCTCAACTTGGATATGTTTTGGGTTTTGAAAATACAAATATGGTCCAAAACAGAGAAATTGCAAAGTATGGATGTGACTTAAGGGGTGGTTTTTCAAGTTTTGCTGTGTATACAAAAGGACTAACAGAAAATATGATTATTGGTAATAGCTTAAGTTCACTTCTACGTGTAGTCTCTGTGGCCGGTGCAAAACCTGGAGAATATAATGAAAACATTTATGATTCGCCAATATATGCTCGTGTTTTACCAAAGGAAGTTAACGAAATTGAGATTGAAATAAGAACAATGGATAATGGTAGATTAGTACCATTTTCTTTTGGTACTGTGCTCATTGTCTTGATCTTTAAAAAAGTGATAAATTTTTGATTTTATTTCAAAGTGTATATAAATAGTGTTTGTAATTATTTAAATTCTAAAATAAATTTTATTTATTAAAAAATGGTGCACGTTGTTTTTGATACTAGTACAGTAGGATATGACGATTTTGTCCAAAACAATCCTAATGAGATGTCCGGTGGTGGAGAAATATCATATGATTATTTTCGAGGGTCTTCCCCCTTCCAAAGAGGATATGGTATTCAAAAAGGAGCTGGAGTCGGTGATGTTATGCGCGGACTATGGCGTTTCTTTCTTCCTGTTCTTCGCAATGTTGGAAATACTGTAAAGTCAGAAGCAATTAACACAGGGCAACGCGTTCTTGAAAGAGTTAGTCAGGGTGAACCAATCAAAGAAGCTTTCATCAGTGAAGGAAAGAAGGGTGTAGATACTGTACTGGAGAAGGGAGGCCTACCTAAACAATTTGGTTCTGGATTTGTTAGAAAAAAGGGTATAAAAGGGAGAAAATTACCTAGTTATCAAACATTAATTGGCAAACCGATTAAAAAAAGAGTAAAATCAGACGTTTTTGGTCTTTACTAAAATGGCCTTTCACAAAATTGATAATGATAGTATCAACTCAATTACCAATGCTTTAGACTTTTTTCAAATTCCACCTACAAATGTAAGTATTTCATCATCCAAAGTCTTTGAAATTCTGCCAAGCAATCCACTCACCGATACACCTTACCATTTTAAAATTCATGCAAGTCAAAATTATATTGATTTGACTAAATGTTATTTATTTACTGAATTTCGAATTCGAAAAGAAAATGAAAGTGGACAACTTGTAAATCTTTCTGTCGCAGACAATGTTTCTCCAATACAGCTTATAGGACAGACATTTATTAATAATATGCGAATAAGTGTTAATGGAAGAGAAGTGTTCAATTCAAATTCCCTTTATGCTTACAAAACCTATTTTTCACATGAGCTCTCATATTCACAAAACGCAAAGAGCTCACATTTAAATGCCGCTGGATACTTTTATAATAATACTTCAACTCAAGAAGGTGGTTTAGATACAATCGAAAGGCGAAGATTATTTGAAAACAGTAAAACAGCACAATTCATTGCTAAACTTGATGCAGATATTTTCAATCAACCACTTTATTTGATAAATCACTGTGAGGTTGATATCGAAATTATACCAAACGATTCCCGATTTGTTCTTATGACATTTGGACTACAAAATGCTATGGAAGTAGCAACGCGTTATCATTTTGAAGTAACAAATATGAAACTTTATGTTAAGAAGGTTGACTTAATGGACGGATTGGCTTTGGACATTGCAAAAATACTTGAAACTAAACCTGCTCGCTACTCGATAAGAAAAACTATGATGAAGCCTTTGTTTATTAGTCAGGGTCGATATGAGTTTAATGCCAATCTATTTATGGATCAGATTCCTAGACGTATTACATTGGGACTTGTTTCAAATTCTGATTATGTAGGAGATATTAAACGTAGCCCTTTTAACTTTCATCATTTTAATGTTCGCGAGATTAGCATTATTGCTAATGGAAGAAATTATCCACAAGCACCGTATGACTTTGATTATGAAAATGGAAAATATGTTCGAGCATTTAATGATATGAATGAGGCAATTGGTTTAGCAAATTCAACGGAGAGCAATGGAATAACTTTACAACAATATGGTAAAACACATTGTATCTATGTTTTTAACCTAACAAATAGCGGAGAAGATCAAGGAGGAACTTTTGATTTAATTAAAAATGGAACAACGGCTGTAAATATTAAGTTTAGCAAACCTGTACCTGAGGGAGGAATAATGCTTATAGTAATGGGAGAAGCAGATTCACTCATAATGTTAGATAAAAATAGAACAATCGCAAGTGATACCACTATATAAATTCTAACCTTTCATATTGTAATTATTTTAAATAGATAAATTTATTCCTTTTAGAATTTATTTTTGATACAAGTAAAACATTAACCCATATTTTAAAAATTTTTTTAAAAAAAGTATAAATATGAAAGAATTTTGAGGAAAATCATTTAAAAATGAATAATATTTTGAAAATAGTTTTTCTAATTAGAATTTTTGTTCCACTAATCGAGGCATTATCAACAGATGGTACTATAAAATTGGATAATTTACCAGAATATTCTGAACTTGTTAAATATTACAGAGGAGAAAATATTACAGGAAATCCTCTTTTACCTTCAAAGCAAAAAATTGTTGCTCCAGTACCAAATTTTATTAATTTCGATAATCTGCCATCGCTTTGCAAGGAAAGTCCAAAAGACAATAATTTTTATGGACATGTATTCTGCTGGGGAATGATATGTTTGTATGCCATGTTATTAGCTAGTCTAATTATTTATCAACTTCGATCAGTACTTTGGTTCAGATTCAATTTTAATAATGTACGCAAGTCAGATTACAAAAATTCTGAGGACAAATCACCAAACATCACGAATCTTCCTAGGATGCTTCCCCTGTAATTGTCTGCCTGATCCGACTTCAACAAAAGGAAAAATGCTAATTGTCAATTTGGACCCTTTTGGTTATGAAGGTTCTCACTGGGTTGTTGTTTACATAAAATATAATGATGAAGTGATATATTTTGATAGCTTGGCACTCCCTACTAGTATATGCATAATTAACTCCTTTCTCAAAAATTTTTCCAAAATTTCAAAAAATCTAAAACCTTATCAATCCGAATATGCCAATACTTGTTCCCAGCATTGCATCTCTTTTATATATTTTTTCTCAAAAGGTTATACTTTTGACCAATACCTTGAAATATTAAATAAACAAGCAAATCCAGATTTATTTGTAACTAATATAGTGAATAAAATGATTAATTATTGAGTTTATTTCTGGTGATTTTAGCACAATCTGAGCAAAGATAAAGTAGATAAATGAACGAAATTTCATCTTTTGTGTTGAAAATTTCATTCTGATCTCTTGTCAAAGTGAATTTTAGACAGTCAGGACACCACTTTCCAGCTCTAAAGTAATTTATCAACATACTAAGTCTTGCACCTATATCGAAAGTTTTCCCTTCTTTTAAAGTAATGTTCATTGAATTGAGATATTCTCGTTTGTAAAAATTTTTATATAAACATATTCCCTGAATTAAATTAAAATTATTTAATATTTACTTAATTAACCTCTACAATTACAGCAATATCATATTCCTCATTTTTGTTTGACGTAATGTTGTCCATTAAAAATTAAATTAAAAATTAAGGATAATAATAGATCTTTTAAGTGAATTCTGAAACGAACAAAAATTTTTGGAAATTAATGAAAATCATAAGAAATCATAAATATTTAAAATCATAATATTTAAATTTCGCTTGGCTTCGCTTTTATTTTCATAAATAGAGGAAGGCTGACATATATAAAGATAAAACGAATTTTACTTTTCCTGAACTCTTAATAGTTGGAATTTTTTGTTTTATCTGTTTTATATACTTTTGCCATTTTTTCTTACAATGTTTAAAATAAAATCAAAAATATTTTATAGATTATTAAAACAATTTATAATACTTTAAATTCGCAATGGAACAAACTTTCGCTTCTTTCTTAAATATAAATGATATAAATCAAGAGGTAGATATTTTTATAAAGTCTCTTATCTTTAATATTTTAGAAGCTTCCAAGTGATCCTATATCCTCTATACCGGTCAAAGTTGTTGAACAAAATGTTTTGGAGGTAAATCTTTATAAAAAATCAAATTTATTTTCAATATTTAGGGAACTACAGAATTTTGGGATTGTTCCTGGCATCCTTTAACTAAAGATCTGAATCAAATGATTAAAAATGGTGAGAAATTGGATTCGTCCACGTTATTCACATTCTTGGATCACAATTTTGAGCTCTCAACATGGTGTGATCATTGCCGTACAAAAATACTTAAAAAGGAGCAAGATGAAATCATAAAGGTTGAAAAAGGAAATACATACAAATATAAATTTTTTGTATGTGCTGATTGTGCCCAAATAATAAAATATGCAACGTTTTATTATTGAATTGTTTATTTTTTTAAAATTTTACAAATAAGTTTAAATTTGAATAATATTAAATAAATTGTTTATCTTGAAAAATTGTTATCATTGATTATATTTTCTTTGGCGTGTATGGTGATAAAATATCTGTAGATTTACAATTCTTCTTATAGCATCCGTCACAAATTTCAAATTTAATTTCAATCTTTTCTGCTTTTCGAACTGCTTTGTCACTCTTTTTAAATACACTGTCCCGACATTCTAAGAATTTTTAAAATTTTAATAAAAAGCAATATATTAACCTGCACAAAGTGAAAACGTCAGAAGAAATTTTCCTCTAAATAATTTCCAGAAAGGTTCACTAGTAGTTTTGGTTTCAGAAATATTACCAGGACTCATTTCAGTTTCGTTAATTTTTTCCATTTAAAGAATTTTCTGAATAATTTTGCGAATGAGTATATGTATGGATAAACTCTGGCTATTTATATTGTCAATGTGGGCGGTCCTTAAAATTTTGTAAACAAAAAAAGAGTATATAAACTAATTAATATTAATTTTAATTTCATTTTAAAAATGGTCCTTGTAACTGAAGAATGTGCAAATATTTTATGTTGTACCGTCAAATCGCTTAGATGTCATCTTAATCACCCAGAAAATAGAAATTTAGTTCTGAAAAAGCTTCAAGATCGTAAGGTTGAGACAACATACACTGACAAAAATGGAATGAAAAAAAGTTTTATAATTGGTGGCTTATCAAAGGAGGGGGCAAACGTTATACCAGCATATGGAAAACTTGCAAAACCTTTCAACATTTCTGTCACAGCACATTTTTATGCAAGACATCGAATACGACTTTTAAATCCTTATCTTCATTGTATTATCGAACAATTTCCAAACAAAAAAGGATCATTTCAAGAAAATCGATATTACCCATTGGAATTGCTTGAACTTGTTAAAGAGGAGGAGAAAGAAAAAATTTCCAATTTCTCTGAAAACATAAAATTTACAAGTGACAACATGCAGACATCTAAAACTTCTAAAACTAAATCAATAATTGTAGCTGACGAGGAAGAAGAAAATTTTGATGAAGATTTGTTGAAACCAAGTTATTATTGTAACGGATGGTGATTTAAAAAAACAATTACATAATTTCAAATATTTATTACAAATTTATTTATTACAAATATTAAATGAAAGTAAATAAAAATAAACATTATAAAAAAATAACAATAGATATAATTTTTAAAAATTAAATATGACCAAAATTTAATACAGAAAAATCGGAGGGTCTGATTATCCCTTTCCCAACAAAAGGTCTAGATATTTTATGGCGGGATAGTGTGGATACATTTAAATTTTTAATTGAGGGACATAAAAATGAGGGATACATTATTTTAATTGGTTCATTATTTCCTGTTTTTGCGTATTTGATGACTTGTCTTTTGAACGTTTCATATCTTAATCCTTGATTGTTGACGATATCATAATTTAAGGTTATTCCTCTTACTTTTAAAATATATTCATGTTCATTTTGTTGCTGATTGTCTTTCTTTTTTAATTTTAAGCCATATTGTTTTGCTCCTCCAGAAACATACTCTATGATGTCATGTTTTGGATACTCATCGGTAAATTGTCCAAGATGAGGTCCAAGATTTAGAGGGTTGACTCTTTCAGGATGGGTAAAAATTAGGGAGTCAGTGTCCGTATACAATAAAGTACATCCATCAGTACGGACAACCTGTTGCATTGCACGAAGGAGGTGGATTCTTGCTGCTGAAGTGGTCCAGAGTGAAATAACTAAATAGTATTAAATTAAAAATTTTTTAATAAAAAATACCAATATTAGAACACTCATGTTCTTCGATCCACTCTTTTTTCTTCATATATGCAATCATTAATATTTCTGGGGACAATTCATCTAGGCTTGTTATTTGAATTGATTTGTCATTTATGAATTTTTGGTATTGTTCTGGGTCATCAGTTATTATACATTGAGAAAGACCAAAATTGCGTAGTGAAAATCGTCCCCAAAGATTATTTAACATAAGTTTGGCTTGTGTCCTCCGACCTTTGTTGGGGTTCATTTTACTTCTTTCAATTTTTATTCCAAATTTTTCACTGCATTCTTTAATAAATTGGTCTTCAGCTTGAGTGTTGTTTTTAATATTATTGTCAAAACCTGACGAATGTATTTTTTCTGCCATGAACTCTGAGATATAAGGGCGAAACAATTCAGAGTCCGATTTGTTGTATTCTAGTACACGAAAGAGTTTTGTTACAATATAACCCTCTTCTAGAGCAACATTCAATTCGATTGATGTGCAAGTTGATACCCATCCTCTTTCTTCATTGTTGTGTGTACATCGATAATTTTCTATAACACCACCTTCAGGATACATTTTTCTAAAAATTAAGTTATTTTCTAGTAAATAATTTTTTTATCTTACGCGCATTTTGCACACAGAGGAAATAGAAGACGAGCATCATTTTCTAATTTCATAGGTAGTACTGGAACATCAATTTTCCTTGGTGGAATTACAAAGACTTTCAAAATTGCCAGATTGTATGTGTTGTCAATAGCTCTTGTCCAGTTTACATTTTTATTGATGATGTGAACTTTCGGATGTCCAACAGGATAAGCTGTTGTTACGTTAATAAACGGATATAATGATGTCACGTCATAATATGATATCCGTTCTCCATCTGTTATCTTATGATGGAGTTTCAATGGTCCAGTTCTTCCTCCATAAAAACAGCTTCTAATATCAATTGGTCCATCATCAATATAACTGTAAAATAGTTCTCTCATCTCACGATCTTTGGCCAACATTTGATGAATTTCGCACTCCCAATAAATGTCAACACGGGCAATTTGAGTTAGTATAAATTCCATTCTATTTTTATCATGTTCCCTCAAGTATCCAGCAGTTTTTCCATTAGGCATTAAATCATTATCATTTGGGAAACATTTGGGGCATCCATGCCATACACACCCATTAACTTCTATACCAAAATTTTCTTCAACAACCCATCCATCAAGTTGGTAGTTACCTATTTTCTTCTCGCCACCGTCAGAGTTGACATTTTGTACGGTTACACCAAATTTTTCAGAGTACCATTTGAAAAATCTAAGCGCAAGAAGACTTTGGTTTCCATCTACTTTGTCATAACCACGTTCGGGTACAAGTGCCAAATGTTGTTCTTTTAGATGGTTTGTTCGGAAATGACGCATACAGGCCGAAGCGATGGTCATTGCCTCTCGTAATACATCAATTCCTTCATGAGTTTTAGATGATGCAGCCCTTTCTCCATTATTGCGTTTTGTCACCTCAAAAAATTCCTTTCGAAAAGCAATAAGCGCAGCCATTAAAATTTCAACATCGTTTGTACAATAACTAGCTAAAGCTTCATCAAGTAGGAAAGGTGTATTTTTTTGATGTTCGTACCAAAGATCAAACATTTTCCTTTTTTCAGGCATCATTCCATTGGCGAGATAATCGGTTTTTGTTGGATATATTTCCTTTCCGTAATTTTCAGGACGATTGGCCATGTGAGGGAAGAATGGTTTGTCTTGAACCTCGAGATCGAATGAAGGTACAAGTGAAGCAAGTGACATTGGCATTAAATTAAAGGTGTCACGGAAGATGATATTATTCTTCTTGTTCTTCATCTTCATTTCATAAATTTTATTTCCCTTTTTCAAAATTTCAGGTATTAATCCTTGCTTAACTATTTCTTTTAGAGTAATGACAATGTCGAACCTGCCTCCAAAATGTGAAAAAGCATAGATGTCGTAATTTTGTGGGAGTTCATTTAAGATCCAGTTAACAAAGGATGAAATTGGAGAATTGCATATTATCTTCTTATCAACAGTTGTTTCAATAAAGGGATGTTGAGAGAAAGTTATTGTTCGATGTTGTCCACAAATTTTGCAAGTATTAATGTGAAGACTTTGTTGCCATTGTCCTTTTATTATACATTCAGGACATGAAACTTTTGCTGCAATAAAGTTAGGCTCATGAATAGTAGATAATTGTGTAGTTTCAAAATCAAACGCAATAATTAAATATGGTTGACATTCTTTTGGTTCCAAAGGTTTAATGTAGCAACCTCGTGTTAAATCATGAAATTCATTACATGTATTACAATGTTTTTCTGAGCATACATGACCTTTACGTCCGTTACGAGTGTTGACATAAACATTCCAAATAACTCCGCATTTTTTGCACTTCTTAGAATTTTTACAGAAACCATTATTTAAATGTTGTTCGTAACAATCCTTGTTTTTAAAATCTTTAAAACATAAATTACAATTTTTGAAGAAAATGTTGTCGGGTTGACATGGAAATTCAGGTCCAACACGTGAACAGTTTTTGCAGCGAGCTTTACATGTAATAGAATGATGTTGAGCTTTATTGTAGACACACTTACAGGATAGGCAGTAATACTTTCCAAATAATCGACCATTTTTCTTTACAGCATAAAAATGTTTTTCAATATCATTGTAGTAAAGAAGTATAGGAGTGTCGTAGTCCTCAGGTCCATATTCAAATTCAGGTTGGTAATTACCATGGTCACCGAATATAAATATTTTAACAATACATTGATTAATACATTTAACATTATTCCAATGATCAACAACATGTGGAATCCATTCATCAGCATCATATTCATGCAAACCAATTTGAGCCCCTATTTGATTCATTAATTCATATGTATCTTTTTGAAAACGACCAGCCATTCCCTTTAGATTATTTATGTAGTAGAAAAATTTTAAACATGGCCAGCTGCAAATATTTTGTGTAAGTGATGCGATTAAAGCGAAAAATAGACAATGATTCATGTTGTCAGGGTTATTGAATTTGATTAGTGACCTATTATTAATTTGATGACGAACTTTGGGGATTTTACGAGCAGCCCCTCCTAAACGGCGTCTTTTATTAAATGAATTCTTATTTATTGTTGTTACAGTTATGGAAAAAGGTGCGCCAAATAGAGATAATTCGTCTTGTTTTTTACTCTGGGCAATATGTTGACAACGATTAAGCATGGCATCAACAGTATTATTTGATAAATTACTGAAAAAAATCTAATATAAACTAAAACGTAAGAAATAATACCTGAAAGGAACCCAGATGTCATAGTCTAAAAAGTCACTGGTTAGAGTGCAAGCTAATTGTTGAGGTTCAATGTTTTTTTCTCTTGCATGTTCCAAAGTTCGATCAACACAAAATTGAAAAATTCCTGAATTTTTTGATTTATTGAAATAAAAATTTAGTTTAATTACCAGACAGAAGGGACTCAGCATCGGCTGGAACATCTTTAATCATAAATTTTGAATAAGTTTTAGTTACATTAAATTTTGCATTATATTGTATTGAATCATTTAGTCGTTCAACATAACGTTCAGCATTGTATCCTGTTCCTTGTTGTAATCCAAGTAGATTAGCAATAAAGAAACTTCTTGAATTTTTTGAAAGCTGCTGCATTTAAAAAATATTTTTATGAAATATTAACTAAAAAAAGAATATTAATATAAAAATGATATAAAATTAAAAAATGACCGTTTTTATAGTCTTTCCCCTACACCTTTATTTAAAAGATGGCAATTAAATTTTAATAGATTTTACCTATTTAACTCTTGTTCTTCTGGGGTTTTCAAATTCGCTATTTTAGGTGTATGAAAATGAAAAAAAGTAAAAAAATAATTAAAAAATTTTAAATGATAGTTTTAGTAAACTCCGGTTGATCTGATCAATCGCTTAATCTCTTGGTATAAAGAACTGATCACCCCCTCTGTTGATCACTCTTTACTGTCACTTTTCAGTATATTGATCACACGATTGATTTCGATCAATTAATTGATCACATAATAAACTGATTGTAGTTTGATCAATTTTAATAACTTTATCACTTGATCACTTTTGATCAATCATCTGATCACTTATTCACATTTTTTATTACATGATAAATTTCATTGATCACTAGCCTTTTAAATTTTAAATTGATTATTCGATCACTTGATTGACCGCTCATTTACTTTACCTACTCGATTATATACATGATACTTTTACTCAATCTTTTGATTGATCACTCAAATAGTCACTTGATCACTTGATTGACCACTCATTTACTTTGATCACTCAATTATATACATGATACATTTATTCACTCTTTTAATATCTTTTGATTGATCACTAAATAAATTAATACTCGCTTGATCAGTTGGTTGATCACTAGATATATTAAAGACAGGTTTTTGAAAATAAATATACCTTTTGTCGGGACTGGCCCGACTTAATGATGTTTCATAATATTATATTTTTAATATTTTTTAACAAAATTCCAATTTCTATTTTTATTATTATTTCATAATCTTTCCGATGATTCTTTTCATGTTTCTTCCCAAATAATTCATATTTTTGATATTCCAACTTAATCATACTTTTAAAACAATTCTTGTTTTCACCCTTCTTTAAAAGCAAATTCTAATGCCCCAAAAATATCTTTTTCCTCTTCACTTTTAATTTTAAGAATAAAAATCTTCCCCCAAAAAAATTATTAAAACTTTTAAACTTTGAGAATAAATATTAAAATTTTACGTCTTTTCGAATTTATTTTAAGTCGAAATTTATTAATTTCGACAATTGGTGCCGCTAAATCGAACCTGCGAATAATTGCGAACCCGAAAGGGTAAAAATAATTCAAACTGCCTAATCGACGAGAGCGTAGCCCGATTAGAAGAAGAAGCCCTTTAAGAAGAAATAGAGAAAATTCTGAAAGATATCGGCCAAATTATCAAAGAAACAGGTCGTTTTATTTACATAGTGGTAGACAAATTAATTTCGATAGATATCCACAGAGTAGAAATTTTTCTAATACGTTTCGTGGGCGTGGTCGTGGTAATTTTAGAAATTTACGACAACAACAGCAGCAACCACAAATTGTGATACAAGTGCCACCGCAGCCACAGCAAATACAACATTTTCAAGAACATTTTCCACAAATTCCGCAACAGCAGAATTATTTACAACAACAACCAGGACCTTCAGCACAATATTATATTCCACCGCGATTAAATTACAACAATGGCAGCAGTTATTCAAGCTTCTATCCGCCCCATCAAGGAACGTTTGCGCCGCTACGTGGGAGAGGTGGAACAAGAGGATTTCAGCCTAGATGGGAATTTGCAAGGCGCTGAACGTCGCAGGCAATGTAATCTTTTAAAAGAAATGATAATTACACATATAGAAAAAATAAGTTGTTCGGTAAATGAGTTAGAGGGCCAAAATAAAATTTGGATGAATTGGTTAGGTGATATGGAAGACGAGCAATATCAAAGAGCAGCTAGAAATTTTACGGAATTTTCGGAAGGTCCAGAAGGCCATATGATTTTAATGGAAAGAGCCCGGGAACGATTAATACATCTAAGGGAAAACTTAAGAATTTTAAATGATTTTTGTCCATCCGAAAATGCGAACATTACTATAAGGAATCAGGGAAATCTAAATCAAACAATGGTTGAGTCAAATTTACCTACTCTCGAATTGCCAAAATTTAATGGGGATATAAGTAACTGGGAGGCATTTTATGAAGATTTCATGAGTATGATAGATGAAAAACAAATTTCGGATAAGATGAAACATTCCTATTTACGAAAAGCACTGAGAGGGGAAGCTGAGGAATTAGTTCAGGGCTACGCGATTACGGCACTCAATTATAGATTAGTTTTAGAGGTTTTAAAGGACCATTACGGTAATAAAAATATAACAAAAAGTGCGTTACACGGGGCATTAATAAAAATCCCGAGAAGCAGCAAATACGTCCCCGAGGTAAAAAATACTTTAAGAAAAATTGAGTGTATCCTTAGGCAACTTAAGCAATTAGGGGAAGATATTGAGCACGAACAAATAAAACAATTAATACAAAGAAAAATGCCTAAATGGATTTTAAAAGAGATAGTAAAAAGAACTAGGGCCGATCCTGAATGGAAAGTTGAGGCTATGTTAAAATTTTTAGATGAAATGATTCAATTAGAACAGCACGTATATTTGGCCCAAAAAGACTTAGATGAGATAGATGAGAATTTAAAAGGGCGTTTTAATGAAAATAGAAAAATAAATTCAGGCCGATTTCAACGTAATGGCAATGCGAATATAAGCCGAAATAATTATAATACAGGGTCAAAACAAATTTCTTCGGTAATGTATGCCCTCCAAGAAAAAGAAACTAAGAAAAAATGTATATTTTGTTCTGAGGCTCATTGGGAATCAAGATGCGAAAAATTTTCAACAAAAGAACAAAGGGCCGAAAAATGTCACGAATTAGGAATTTGTTTTAAATGCTTAGAATCGGGACATCTTTCAAAAAATTGTAGGGCAAAAATAAATTGTTTTTTCTGTAAAAAGCCCGGCCATAACACAGCATTTTGTCAGAAAATAAATAAAAATAATATAGTCAAAAGAAATGTCCCCAATCAATACACACAGAAATACAATTCAGCTAAAACCGAAATAAATAAACAAGTGTGCGTTGGAATAGAAAAAGAGACCAAAGAAGAAGGAATTGAAAATAAACAGTTTAATAGCCTAATAGAGCCAGATTTTGATAAAACACTAGAAATAATGCTTCCAACCACACAAGCAATAATAAGTCACCCCTCGCATCCTGAAAGGTATGAAAACATTCCAATCTTCTTAGATTCTGGGTGTCACATTTCGTTAATAGAAAATGAGATAGCAGAAAATTTAGGACTAATTCCGGTTAAGACACAAATTTTTAGAGGAAATGGTATATTTGGATGTAAAGTAAACAGAACCATGCCTATTTACCCGGTAGACCTACATTGCCTAGATGGAGAAATAATGAGAATTTTTGTAAGAGGGGCAGATAATGTTACCACAAGAATGTGCATTCAAACAAAAAGGGCCATTGAAGAAGCAATAAGTAAAAAATACGTTCCGAAAAACTCTCTTTTTGTTGAAAAACCAGGTATTTTATTAGGCTCTGACTACTTTGGAAAAATCTTTTTGGCTGAAAATACTGAAGCAGGCTTTGGAATATTTAATACAAAATTGGGAAAAATTTTATCCGGACCTGGAAAATTAATTGATGAAAAAATGCAAAAAGTAATTGGAGCGCTTTCTAAAGAAAATGAACAAAAGGAATTCCATAAATACTGGGAACTTGAAGGCATAGGTATCCACGAAAATCCAGTACAGAATGACGACAAAGTAGCCATGGAACACTTTCAAAAAACATGTACACGAGACTCAGATGGCCGATATGTAGTGAGCTGGCCATTAAAGGATGAAAATGTAAAAATAAAAAATAACTTTTGGGGAGCCATTTCAGTACTAAAGTCCGTGCATAAAAAGTTAATGGAAACAAAAAGATTAAATAAATACAATGAAATGATTATGACACAAATTAATGAGGGAATTTTAGAAATTATTGATAATGACGGTAAAGAAAATTCTACATTGTACATTCCTCACCATCCAGTGTATAATAAAGAAAAGGATAAATTAAGAATAGTTTTTAATGCTAGTTTTAAAACAAAAGGAAGCAATTCTTTAAATGATCTACTTTACAGAGGACCCGTGTTATTACCTGAATTAGTCGGATGCCTAATGCGTTTTAGAATGAGTAAAATTGTAGCTATAGCTGATGTTCAAAAGGCGTTCCATCAAATTGCGATTGCGGAAAATCAAAGAGATCTGACCCGGTGTTTTTGGCTAAAAGATATAGAGGGAGAAGTAGTGGAAAGTAATGTGATAAAATTAAGATTTAAAAGAATGGCATTCGGTGTTATAAGTGCACCTTTTCTTATGACGGCCTCTATTAATGATCATTTAGAAAAAACAAATACTAAGCTCTCTTTAGAATTAAAAAATGGGGGAATGTACGCAGATAATATATTTCTTTTTGCCAATTCAACACAAGAATTAAGGGACAAATGCGAACAATCCAAAGAAATATTTGCCCAAATTAAAATGAATTTACATGAATTTTTCTCTAACGATTTAAAAATAAATAAAGCATTTTCCGAACAGCACGAAAAGAAAATAATTAAGGTTTTGGGGATTAATTGGAATTTACAGGAGGATGAGATCTTTTTAGAATTAAGTAAAAATGAAAATTTAATAAATGAAAATATGATTTGGACCAAGAGAAAGGTGTTAAAACAACTAGCAAAGACATTTGACCCATTAGGCTATTTAATACCAGTCTCTCTCCCCAGAAAATTAATAATGCAGGAAATTTGGAAAAATGACATCGATTGGGATGAGAAACTTAGTCCTGAATTAAATAAAAAATGGAATGAATT